GCTGCGGATGCGCACAGAAGAAGACAAACAAAACGGCATAAACATAAATGTTTGGCGCTCCTCGCGGACTTCTTGGATCTGCGCTGGACCCCCCTCCCTGGCGCACGGAGCGCGCCAGGGGCGGCGCCGGAGCGCCAAAAGTTTATGGTTATGCCATTTTGTCTGCCTTCTTCTATGCACAGTTCCACAGCCTGGAGGACAGCGTCCATGCAGCCTGGAGGACAAGACCTCCGCGCGGAGCGCCACAAAGTTTAGGATTATGCCGATGTGTCTTCCTCGATGACCAAAGGGGGGGGGGAGCCTGCAGCGAGGCTGGATCGGGTCGGGCGAAAGGGGGGGATAGCAAAGGGGGGGGGTGAGAATCGGCTCACGTGGCTGATTTTTTCCCGGCGCCTCCTGGCTCCGGAGGCGGCTATGCCCCTCGGCGAGGCCGAAACCAGCTGCATGCCGCAAATTTCGCAACCCCCCCCTTTCCCAATCCCCCCCTTTCGTCCCGCCCGACTGGAGGCGCGGCCGCCCCGGCCCTGGGCCGGCCCGCCCCCCCCGCCCGAGGGCAGAAGCGCCTCTGCCCTGGGCACCCCCTCGAGAGGCGGCGCGCCCCGAGGGGAGGGAGGCCGCGAGGGGGGCGGCCCGTGCCGGAAGGCGGGGGGGGGGCTCCTCTTGGGGGAGGAGGGGGCCGCCCGAGGACAGCGATGGCAACGATCACAACGGTCACGACGATACCGTTGCTGTTGTCGCTGTTTTCGCTGCCATCGTTGTTCTCGTGATCGCTGCTGTCGCTGTTATCGTCGTTACCACTGCGATCGGTGCTATCGTTTGTGATCGTCATGATCGGTGTGATCGTTGTTGTCGCTGCTGTCGAGATCGCTGTCATCGCTGTTAGCGCTGCTTTCGTTGGGGCCCCGGAGGCCACAGTCGGACCTGACTGGACAGGACACCCGTCCAGGGCCCCCGCCGCCAGAGAACGGAGGCAGGGCGTGCGGCATCCTCAGCCGACTGCCCTCGGGACGCCACCCCAGGAGAGCAGCAACGTTTGAAGGGGCCCTGGGACACAAAAAAAAAATACACAAATAACAAGATTCCCAATATTTTCCTATATTTTCTGGGTTTCTGTCTTCCCCCCCATTTCCCATATTTTCCAATTTTTTCTAGGGAATCGACGATTAATTGTGTCTGTGTGTGTGTTTTCCCCTCCTGAGCTCTGAGCGAGGACCCACAGCGGCAAAAAACCCCGCTGCTGGTCAGGGGCTGCTCCCACTGAGCAACGCAGGCGCGCCAGGGAGCGCGCCGGAGAGGACGCGAGACCCTTCCGAGGGCCACGCTGCCGTGGGCATGTTGTCAGAGGCGGGGGTCGCGAGACACAGGACGCAAAGGTAGCCTTATAATCTGGCAGGGCCGACCGAAATAAAATCAGGGCCATCTGTATCGGGGGCGGCCAAGAGGGGGGCGTCCAAGAGGGGGGGCGCAAATCACGGCCGGCGCCACGTGCGCGGCCCAGGGGGGGGCAGGAACGCAACGAAATAAGAAGAGGCGCCATGAGATCTGCGGAAATGGCATTTTCAAGCGAAGCCCCCCCTGCTAAAACAACAGTCCAGTCTAGACTGTAATCGCGCAGGCGCTGGGGCGCCGAGCGCATGCAGCACCATTGGGATCTTGATGAAACCACCGCAAAACACATGACCTGCACGGTCCTTGCGTTCGAATGCCAGTATCATGGCCCACGCCATGAGATCCCCCCCTTCTTGTCATCACCCCCCTCCTTGCCGCCCCCGGCTGCACCGGCAGGCCTCTCAGAAGAAGCCGGAGTGGGGCCTCCCGAGAAGCCGCCGCTGCAAGCCAGGGAGCCGCCGGCACAGGCGGGGCCGCGATCGCGCCACGCCGCGGCGCCCCCAACAGCGCATGCCCCGAGGAACGGCAGGAGGCAGCGAGGCAGGAGGAGGAGGAGGAGGAGGAGGATGAGGATGAGGAGGAGGAGGAGGAGGAGGAGGAGGAGGAGGAGGAGGGGAGGGGGGGGAGGGGGAGGAGGAGGGGGAGGAGGGGAGGAGGGGGAGGAGGGGGAGGGGGGGGGAGGACGGTCGAGGACCTTCCAAGCTATAGCAGTCGAGGGTCCTCTCCGTGCCCTGGGAGGCCTCCTGGAGGCTTCCAAGAGAGGCCACGGCCCCTCCACGGCGCCCGGGGACATCCAGGGGCGGGACTTTGGGGGGGATCCGCCCGGGGCCTCCACGCAGAAGGAGGGCAAAGAGGACCCGCCTCGCGCATCCCCCAGCCTTCCTTTCATTTCCTCCCCGCCCATCCCCCCCTCGTTTTGGTTTCCTGTCACTCTCCCACCGACCCTCCCCCAGCCCCCCCCCCAACTCCAGCCTCCCAGACCGTCCCCTCCCCTGATTACCGCTCACTCACCCCATCCCGTCCCCCGTTTCAGCTATGTTGTTGTTTCTCTGTCTCTTTATTTCTCTCTCTCTCTCTCACTCTCTCTCTCACTCTCTCTCCCTCTCTCTCTGTACACATAAACATACACTCGTCTCCCCTCCCCCTCCCCTCCCTCTTGTCTCTCTTTCTCTCTCTCTCTCTCTCTCTCTCTCTCTCTCCTCCCCCCTCCCCATACACACGTCTCCCCCATTACACATTCGGGCAAAAGCAAGTATGATTTGGGACCCGTGGATGTGGCGCGTGGGCGCCAGATCCACGGATCGGAGACAGCAACCCCCGAAAAATGCAGCCAGCGCCGCATCGTTTGGCTACGGGGCGCGCCTTGAGCACATGGAAACGGGACCCGTTGCGCGTTCTCTCTCCCCCCATTTCCCCCTCCTCATACACCCATCTCGCCCTAACACTCTCCTCCCTTTCCCACCTCTCCGCTGCCCCCGTTTTCCTCCCCTCATCCCCCCCCCCTCTCGCGTTCCTAGGTTTGTGAAGGCCCCCTCCCTCATCCACTCGAGAGGCCGCTGGCAGGTGAGTTCACGACGACCACCCACACAATCCCTGACAGACCGTTCAGGTTGCAACACTGATCACCAGACGGCGTGCAGGCCGAAAGTACAAGCTCATGCCGAGGTTCCTTTTTCCGATCCCCCTCTTCTAGAAAGGAACATGAAGCGGCATGATCATAAACTTTTGACGACGCTGGACCCCCCTCTACGCCGCGCGGAGCGCGCCAAGGGCGACGCCGGAGGCGCCGCCGGGGAGGCCCAGCGCGGATGCAAGAAATCCGCGCGGAGCGCGGTTATGCCGTTGTTGTTGTTCTTCGCTGTTCCGATCCCCCTCTTCCCTCAGCTCCACTCCCCTCCCTCCTCCCTCTGCCCCACCTCCCTCCTGCCTCCTGCCTCCTGCTCCGCCTCCCTCCTCGCTCCTCCTCCTCCTCCTCCTCCTCCTCCTCCTCCTCCTCCTCCTCCTCCTCTCGGCCCTCTACTCGACACGCGGTCGAGGCTGCGGGACGGGCACTGAAACGATTCCGCTCTTCTGCCTGCCACCCTGTGCCCGCGCCCCTGGCGAAGCCCGGGCAGCGCCGACCGCGCGGCGCGGGCAGGGGCTCCAGAGCTCCAGGAGGTGGCGACCGCCAAAGAACACGAGGCGCAGCGAGGCGTACACCAGAACCTGCCGAGGCCGGCGCGCCACGAACGCACGGTGGCCACTCCGCGAGCGACCTCCTCGTCGTCGCCACCGTCGCGTGCGGTGTCGCACTCGTCGTCGTCAAAGCCTGCCGGGGGCGTTTCTGCCGGGTGTCCATGAGGATTTCGGGTTGCCCTGGGTGCAGTGGGGCCGCAGAGTTCCAGGCGCTCTCTGAAGCAGTTGGCGAGGAAAGCAGCAGCAGTCCTCCTCCTCCTCCTCCTCCTCCTCCTCCTCCTCCCCCTCCTCCTCCTCCTCCGCCTTCTCTTGCTCCTCCTCCTTCTCCTGCTCCTGCTCCTCTTTTTGGTTTGTTCCTCTTCTCCACCTCCTCCTCCTCCTCCTCCTCCTCCTCCTCCTCTTCCTCCTCTTCCTCCTCCTCCTTTTCCTCCTGTCCTCGGTTTCCACGGGGCACTCGTCGATCTGGGCGGAGGAGGGGGGGATAGCAAAGGGGCGGTTGGGGTATCAGCAGCATGCGGCTGGTCTTCCCAGCGCCGAGAGGGAGGAACAGAAAGAGGGAGAGGGAAAAAGAACTGGAAGGAGGATGAGTAAGGAGGGAGGGAGGACGAAAGGAAAAAGCGTCGCTGGGAGGCGGAGGCAGGAGGAATGGCGGAGGAGAAACGAAGAAGAACATATTTCTGACTAGAGGATTTCGCATTGCAGGTGTGCGCTCTGCCACAAATAGTAATGCAATGTGATTCTTCTGAACCAATACCAATAAGTGATGATATGGACATCATTACAATACAAAATACGTGTAATCATCAACGTAGCAAAAAGGCGCCCCAACCTGACGAGTGGGAAAAGGGAGGAGCCCCACGACTGAAGAGCACTGATGCAGAGCATCCATCGACCCATCGACAGACGGAGCCTGGAAAGATGGATAGGCGGCATGCAGTGGAAGAAGGGACAGGGAAGGAGAGGAAAGGTAGAGAGAGAGAGAGAGAGAGTACGTTTGTTTGTGTTGCTACTCCCGCGGTGTGCAAGTCCCTCTCTCTTCTTACGCTTCCACTGCGCTCGCTCCCGAAGCACGTGGATTCCTGGCCCGCACTCACTTGCGACCGCTTGAGCTTGCTGCACGATGAGAGTCGCCGTCCTTAAAAACACCACTCGGAGGCTCCACACATTGACGCGTGGTTGGTGCGCACCACGCCGGCCACGTTACAAACCTCTGTGTACGGTGTTTGGGTCGCCCGTCCAGACGTCCACGTTCGCTTTCGGCCGCTAGCCTCACTACGCTGCGATGCTGCGCGTGTGGCCGCAACACTAAAAAGTGTGTGTGTGTGTGTCCTGTAAGTGCGTGGAAGAAGAGGGGCGTGTGCAAAACAATCGCCGGCGGAGGCACAAAAATAGAGATGTTCCGCGCGAGCTCCCACTGGCTGCTGTCCTGCGCTACATCAGGGCTGAACATATATCACCAGCATATGATTCGACAAACTAGTCTCTGCAAAGTGGAAGTGTGATGCAAGTCCAAACTCAAAAGTGTAGCCTCAGAGAAACTTGAAGATCACCACATGAACACGAAAGCTACGACGAATGCTGCCTTCCACTGCATCGGATGTCAGGTCTCCCTTGCTTCCCTCGCAAACTCCACACTCTTGGGGCTCTCCATGCATCCGAGCATATCGCTGAATAATTCCGATCTCAGGGTGGCGTCGATAGGATGGCATTTCAAGACTGGGCATGACGCGTAAGGTATCTCACATGACACACAAAAGATGCACATATTATGCCATTCGTCCCAGCCCAAGCACTCGATGACACAAACCATTCCGATACACTATGCCGTCACGCTGATCTATTTAGGCCTCGTGTCTCTGCAAATACTCCCTGCCAGTACTGAGCGCACTTGGAGCAAGGTAAGCAATCTGCCAAATCTCTGTGCCGCACATTGCGGGAAGCATGAGTATCGTCATTGACAAGCTCCTCCCCCCAAACAAAAATAAGACACGGTTGCAAATCCACCATCATGCCCTCAGCACTAGAGGCGGATGATCGCGCCGCATCACAAATGCATCGCCGATGCATCGGCGAAGCCGGCGTGGAGAAATCCAGGCTCCACATCCAGCCGCATCGCCGATGCATCTGGCGATGAGGCGCGATCATCCTCAACCCCCATCTACTCGGACCATACTTGGCAGGCCAATCCTTTCTGGGGCCTGGGCCCCAACTCTTACGGAATTCCCGGTAGCCCTTCCACGCGCTCCCAGGGTGTGCCGCGTCGAGCCCATCGCATGCTTGTCCGCCGAAGCCCTTCCATGCGACGCAGGCAATGTACAATGATGGCCAGCACGGGCAGTGCGGTGTCGGTGGAGCTATGCAAACACACAGTGGCCTTACGCGCGACCTGTGGATAGTCAACAGAGGCACATCGAAGATCACCCGGGGCTCCCTGGAGACCCATGGAGCCCTGCAGGGCACGGTGGATGGCAGAACAAACAAGGGGCAACCAGATCAATCACCACCCACTTACGGCCAGGTGGGGCAGGGCTGAACCCAATGCAGAACAGAGTCATAGGACGATCCCTTGAGGAAATAAGAAATTTGCGCAAACAATACACAAGCGGAGCTGTCATTCGAAGATCTGCCACAGCGGCTACAGGGTACAGTCGCTTCGAATGCGGCATCGCTGACAAGGAAGACCAGGGGAGCTGTGATTTCATCATGCATGGACTCAGCCAACACGAGGAGAGAGAGAGGGAGAGAGAGAGAGAGAGAAAGAAAGAAACGCACGAGACAAGACATAATGATCAGCACAGCATACGAAGGGAAGACACTTCACGCCCGACAGGAAATAAAGAACATGAAAAAAAGGAAGACTGCAAGGATCGAGCGAAGAGACATGCCGACCTCTGGAGGATGCTACTTGGGGACACCACTGGGAGGAATGCAAACGAAGCTACCAGGCTGTGCGGACGCGTCCTCCTCTTCTTCATAGCACTGCCTGGGCGAATCAGAGAAGGTGCGGATGATTGGAACACGGTCGCCCCGAGTAGAAAGCAAAGAGCTGTGAGAGACGAGTTGACCGATGCCGCGCGCACTGCCGACAGAAGCAAGTGGGGTTGGAGCGAAAACAAGAAACACTTAACTGCGAAGGGCGAGTGCCCATAGAACATTGAGTGCAACTATGAGGCTTGTGCGAAGGATGGTTGCGTGGCCTAGTAGTATGGAGACAACGAATGCGAGGCTCGAGAACAAAAACTAACGAGCCTCAAAGAGAAATATAACATCCGCGCAGACATGTCCCTGAAGCCCTGTTCCGCGCCAGGCTCGTTTGCGAACAAGACACTGCACCCCCGCACCCCACCCCCGAAAGCCCATCCCGACCCCTCAACGCCGCCATCTTTGACTTCCCCCTCTTTCGTCGGGGGAGGGCCTGTCGAGACCACGGTGGCTCTCCCGCCCAGCCCAAACCCACCCCCATAGGTCCCCGAGCAACCCCCAACCGTTTCTCGAGGCGGGTCCAGCCGCGGCGACGACAAGAAGCCTGCGGGATGCCCACACAGGACAAGCACCTGGGAGGACCGCCTTTGTCTGGACCTTAATGGGCCCTGGAAACGACAGGGCCGTTTTTTTACCGGTTCCGTTTTGCCGTTTTTGTTGCCGGTTCCGACGCCGTTTTTTTTACCGGTTCCGTCGCCGTTTTTTTACCGGTTCTGGCTCCGGTTCCAATCCTGGAGCCGTTTTCTTGCCGTTTCTGGTCGCCGTTTTTTTGCCGTTTCCATTTTCAATGGACTTTTTTTTGGAAACGGTGAAAAAACGGCCCTGCCGTTTCCAGGGCCCACAAAGGTCTGGACTGCCACATACGGTCACAAAATCTCCGGCATCTACATGTAGCAGATCTGATTGCCCACTCGCGTACACTTACAAACCAATGAAAAAATAAAGAAAACGTTGGCCGAAACTCCCCAGGCGTCTCGGCTACTCTCTGGCGAATAGCTCGCGAATTCGAGAACAACCCCCACGCGCGCGACGCACTGCGTCCACCCCATATCCGCCGCCGTGCCTGCGCCGCACCAGCGTTTCTGTAACGGGCCACCCCCCCGAGCTGCGCGCCGCCGCGTGAGCCTCCCCCCCCTCCCCCGACGGCCCTGTTCCTCTTGGGAAGCATTGGAGCCGCGCCCCCGAAGCCGGGAGACGCTTGCAAAATACGAAGGGCCCGCGCCTTCGAAGGCAAGCCGGCCCAAGTTTCCTCCCAGACGGCCCTGGGCGGCCATGAAGACGGCCCAAGATTGCATTTGGACGGCCCACGAAACCCCCCAGACGGCCCAAGACAGCTCCAAGAGTGCCCGCAGGGCCCCCGGGCGCCTCGAGCCCTCCCCCCACAAGCCCCCCGCGCATCAAACCCTCCTTCTCCTCCTCCCCCTCCTCCTCCTCCTCGCAGGAGCCAAGCGCACCAGATTTTCGAGCTGCGTCCAGCCGTGGCGACGAGGAGGACACCCCGAAGGCCCCCCCCCAAAAAAACATCGGATCTCGACCACCGAGACTCGAACTTCGACCCGCTCGGGCACGGGGGGCCGGGGGAAGAAGACCCGGATAGGAAGAGACAGAAAGAGGATGTGCTGACCCCGCTCGGACGGCAATCGACACGCGCAAGAACACGCAAGCGCGCCAGCCCCCATGGCGTTAGCGCCACACCCTGGGGTGCTTCCCCACGAGAACTGCAACGCGCGCAACGACCACAAAGCGAGTCGAACAGCTTGAGAGCCCTGCGCGGCATGCGAAAAGCACAGGAAGCGGCCCTCGCGTGAAAGACTCGCGCAGGAACGCACGCAGCACACGTCTGCCGACGTCGACCGCGAGAAAGGGGGGGACCGGGGCCGAACGCTGGGCATGGCGTCGCACGACCCTCGGCCCACAGAGGCAAACGAAACCAGGCCGCAGCGATACCTATTTCTTGAAGGGGCCCCAGGACACACAAATAAATATACACAAATAACAGGACCCCCCATATTTCCAATTTTTTTCTGGGGTCTTGTCTTCCCCCCCACTTCCCATATTTTCCCACATGTTCTAGAGAATCGACGATTAATTGTGTCTGTGTATTTTTTCCCCTCCTAATTTTTACTCTGTCGGCACTAACCTAAACACATTAACAGCAGAATGGGGGGGCAGTTGAAAACATACTCCCGGCGCTGTAGTGCGCATGCAGAGAAGAAACAGAAGGCGGGGCAGACCGGACCGCCGGGGACGTCCCCGCGAACGGCGTCTTCAGGCCATTTTGGGCATCTTGGAACTCTCTTGGGCTGTCTTGGAGGCCTGTTGAATATATATATATATATACATATATATATATACCAAAACTGATAAACACACATGTGAACATGTGTGTATATGTAAGTCGCATCGTTCCGGCTTCTGTGAACATTTTCCATGGGGGACAATCAAGAGAATGATCGCTCGGCGGCGAATCAATGGCAGTCGGGATCTGGGGGGGGGGAGGGGGGTCATCATTTTTCAAACAGATTTTGGACATCACTTTGTAGATCTAGAGTCCAGACCACTGCTCTGGTCGTACTTAGGACCTTGCGGTCCTGGGTGGAGTGGTGCTTTCCTCTCTCTCTTCTGCCAGCCGCCCCACCCTTGAGGATGCGGGACCGGGACAATCCCAACTCTTGGGGAGAGGGAGCAGGGACACACGGAGGAGGGAGGGAGAGGGTCCCAGGGAGGGGAGGGAGGGGGGCGAGAGGAAGAGAGGACAGGGGACGAGGAGGCGGGAGCGAGGAGCAGGGAGGACGCGAACGGCATCCCCTCCTCTCTCCTCCGGGCCCCTCCCGCCCCCTGGCCATCGCTCGGACGTCCATTCCCTGTGTCGTTGTTCGGGTTCGTGCGTCGTTTTCTCGCCAACTGATCGCTGATCAAGGATGCTCCTCGATGGTCCTCGCCGAAGGAATAATGCACACGTCCGAGCGATGCCAAGCCCCCGCCCAGGCCCCCCCGGTGGACCCGGCGGCGCGCGGGCGGCGGCGCGCCCGCGGTACTTGCCACCGTGCGGCCACCGCCTCCTGCCCTGCCTGGCGCTCGCGCGCGCGCGGCGCAGGCACGCGCAAGAGGGGGGGGGGGGGGCAAGGGCCGGGACGGCGGCTCGACCTGAGCACCATGTTTTTATGTTTTTTCGTGATGCTTTCGACACCGATTCTGGCCAGGCCCATCTTGAGCCCAGGATCGGTGCATACCCCCTGCACCTTGGCCGGGAAGATATATACACCGATCCTGGGTCAGGGATGGGCCTTGCCAGGATCGGTGCATGCGTATACCTCTCTTCGCCCGAAGAGAGAGAGAGAGAGAGAGAGAGAGACAGAAAGAGAGAGAGAGAGAGTGGACAAACCTCCCGTTAGTAAACCACCCTTTAATGAAAACGGCCTAGGGCCGAGACCGACGGGCGTGGGCCCGCCGAAAAAAGGACGACCGCGACGCCCTCTCGCGAACCGAAAACGGCCAAGTTTCGCTCATCGACGTGTCAGGCTAGGAGGTCTACCAACCTCCGAGAGAGATGGGGGAGGCACCGGGGGAGGGAGGGCCAGAGACGGACAGACGGCGGGAGGCCAGGGGAGAGAGAGAGAGGCAGGGCGCGGAGGGGAGGAAGCGGCTTGGCTTGGCCCGGGTTGGCCCTCGAGGCAGTGCAACGAAGCGTTCGCCGCCCTCGTCCAGACTCTCTGCAAAGTCGGGGTCCTCTGAGGCGGCCGACGCTCGCCGAATCGCTTGACGACCCAACGCGAGCACTCGCGGAGGCTCCTCGACCTTCGGCTTCAAAGCGTTCAGCACTGCGTCCCGGCCACCCACCTCCCCCCGCCCCCAAGTCGAACGAGACAGGAGGAGGAGGAGGAGGAAGAGGAGGAGGAGGTGGAGGAGAGGGGGATAGTATGGCACACTGCCCTGGTCCTTCCGACAAGGCCTTGCAACTGATGTCCTACGCGTGGCAACGGGACAACCAGCCAAAAGATACTGATCCGCCGCCATGGGGAGACGGAAGAGAAGACAAGAGGAGGTTCATCACGTGGCTTCAAGGGCACAGTGACGTGCGCCGAACATTGACAGGTCTCTGCCCGATTATACCTAGAAGGTTCGACGACGAACGTTGAGATGCCACACATGACATGCCGCGTACACATGTATGATCACCTAAGATTGACCAAAGGTCCTCCGATACAGCCCAAGGGGGATCCAAGACGACCTCCAGGGCCCGAAGAAGCCAACAAGATTGACTTCCTACACGTTGTACAATGCGTTTCGTGTTCCCACCTTTTCGCGAATCCGACAGCCCAAGACGGCTCCAGAGGCACCCAATGCGGTCAAAAAGGCAGCCAAGGCAGCCCAAGAGGCCGTCAAGAAGGCCCTCAAGAAGGCCCTCAAGAATGCCCCAAGACCCCAAGACGGCCCCAAGACGGCCCAAGAGACGGCCCAAGAGACGCCCATGACGGCCCGAGAGCGCCCCGAGAGCACCCCAAGACGACCCAGAAATGCTCCCAAGGCGGCCTCCGAAGGCGTCGAGACGGGCCACGAGAGCCTTGGTACGCGACGAAAGGCCGGCCGTCGTGAGGGTTCTGCGACGCCGAGGCTGCCTACCTACCGGACCATCCCAACCCAACCCGAAGACCCGCATTTCGGGTTGGGGGGGTGCGGGCTTCATAGGTTGTCTGTTCCGTGTTCCCCGACCCCCTCCCCCCCTTCGCTTGAAGTGGAGGGCAAATCGAGGCATTCGGGTCGGGTTGGGTTGGTTTTTCGAAGATGGACAGACCCCACTTTAGTAAAACGTGGTTTAGTGCAAACGACCTGAGGCCCAAACCTGGCGGGCGCCAGGCTGGAAAGTAGCGGCCACGGCGCCCTCTCGAGAACCGAAAACGGACAATTCACTAATCGACGTGTCACTGTTGGGGGGTCTGTCCGCCCCCGAGTTTTGGTGGGCGGTGAGAGGCCTGAGGGACCGGCAGAGGTTCGGTCGGTCAGGGACGCTTGCTGAGCGTGTCGCGGCGGCGGCCCCGGCGATACGCCATGCCCTGCAGGCGGATAGCGAGCCGCTCCGCCCCGCGGCGCGGGAGACTGGGATACGCTCAGGACGACGAGGCTTGGAGACTACAGTCAAAAACCCTAATAAGGCACGGTAAGGACGCAAGACCCTTGGAAGCCAAAGTTGGGATTTGTGGGGCGGCGGACGACGAAAACCTCAAGGGCGCAAGAGTAAGGAAGAGCAAGGACGCAAGGGTACCCTGAGCAGAGTCGCGCGTCCTTATTGGGGTCTTTGACTGTAGGACGTGGATGGCGTGCCGCGCCGAGGCGCGGTGGGCCAGAACAGGGAGCGCGACACGCTAAGCCTCAGGTCGGGCATGTCCCCCTACAGGCGGATGCTGGACGAGAAGAAGTAATCAAACGGTCAAATAAAAAAGAATCGAACATAGTCGACAAATCGTCCCCAGACTCTTCGTGGACTATTCTTGCATATTCCTCCTGTAGAAGGCCAGGCCCGACGTAAAAATACCCGAGAAATGCCCCAACACGAATCAAAAATAAACCAACGAAAAAATCGTCCCCGGACAATTGTCTAAACTAGATTGGAACGCCCTCCTGTACTGGCCATCGCTCGGACGTCCATGCCCTGTGTTGTTTTTTCGGCTTCGTGCGCGGCTTCTTCGTCAACTGATCAAAGATGCTCCTCGATGGCCCTCGCCGAAGTAACAAGGCACACGTCCGAGCGATGCCAAGTGTAAAGGGACAGGCCCGACGTCACGCTGAGCCACAGCTCCCGACTATTCTTGCATACTTCTCCTGTAGAAGGCCAGGCCCGACGTGAAAATACCCAAGAAATACCCCAACACGAATCAAAAACAAACAAAAAAAGATCGTCCCCAGACAATTTTTCACTATTTTGGGGAATGTCCTCCTGTAGAGGGACAGGCCCGACGTCACGCCTAAGCCACGGCTCCCCACCGCCGGCCCCGATCGATGCGCGCCGCGGGCGGCCGCCGAGGCCCGCGCTGGGCCGCGCTGGGCCCCCGCTTCGGGGCCAGCGCCACGCCCGCGGAGAGCACCTCGTCGGGCAGGCCGACCTCCGCGGCGCGCGCGGGCGCGGCGCCGCCGCCCGCCCGCCACGCGCCCGCCCGCCGCAGCGCCGCCGCGCGCCGCCGCCGTCGGTCGCCGCCGCCGTCGGTCGCCGCCACCCTCCGCCGCCGCGCTCGCCGCCGCGGGGGGTCGCCGCGGCCCTGCATCGGCGCGGCGGTGGGGGGGAAGCGGGAGCGCCCCGGCTGCGCCCCGTGCGGCGAGCGGGAGAGCACCGGAGCCGAGGAAGCGCGAGGCAGGGAACGAGGGGCGGCGGCAAGCGGAGCGGAGCGGGAGAGGAGCCGAGGCCAACGAGAAGTGGACGTGGAGACCAGAGGTGGTCGGGGAGCTTGCGCGTGGGGAGTGCTGCCGCGCGGGGGTTGGTGTCCAGATCGACCTGGCTGCGCCCCGTGGGGCGAGAGCGACCCCTGGAGCCAGCACCGGAGGAGAAGGCGATGGAGGAGGCGCTGTGGAGAGAAGGCGTGGCGGGGGAGAGAAGATCGAGGGGCAGAGAGGGGGACAGGGAGGTCGGCAGGAGGCGGGAGAGGCACGCCGCTCGCTCCCCCGCCCTCTCTCTCTCTCTCGCGATCCGCCCCAGAGCGGGGAGAGGGAGAGAGAGAGAGAGGAAACAACAAAAGTAACAAAAAACAAAACAAAACAAACCAAACACAACAAAAAAAAAAAAAAAAAAACGAGAGAACAAGCAAGAGAGAGGGAGGAGGAGGAGGCCCGCGCGCGCGCGCCGCGCGGGGGAGGGGGGCGGAGGCGCGCGCGGAGGGCCTCGTGTCTCCAGTTCCACCTCGGGTTCTCGGGCGCGTCCTCCCCGCGCGCGGGGCGGCGGGGGCGGCGGCGGCCCGCACTGCCGCGCCACGGGGGCGGCGGGGAGGGGAGCGGCGCCAGGAGCGGGCACCGCCTTCGACCCCTTGTCGACTGGCGATGATTGGGCTCTTGTTGTGCTTGTTACAACGTGCGCCTTTTGTATCACCGTTAGCGCCGCCGGCACCTCCGCCCACCGTCAGAGGGGAGCGGCGACGCGGGCCGCAGGGGTGCGGCGCCGCCGCGCCTCGGCGCTCCTTCTCGAGAGAGCTCCGACCTCCGATTTCTCGCGGGGGGGCTATCGCGGATCAGCTCGCCATTGGGGGGAGCCTACCGGTGGCGCTGACGCCTCGCTGCCTTCCTCCAGCGGGGGGTGAGGAGGGGGGCGAGAGTCTCATCCTCATCCTCATCCTCATCCTCATCAGCAGCATCAGCAGCAGCAGCATCATCATCATCTGCAGCATCATCACCATCATCATCATCATCATCATCATCATCATCATCATCATCATCATCATCATCATCAGCAGCATCATCATCGTCGTCGTCGTCGTCGGCGTCGGCGTCGCCGTCAGCCCCATCACCATCATTATCACCAGCATCACCATCGCCATCTTCCCTCATGGATAACTGCTCCGAGTGTCCTCGGGATTGCGAGCCCACGGCATTGCCCAAAGCGCCCACCGCTGGAAGCTCACTCGCCCCTCGCAGGACTTCTGGGGCCGGTCGCGTGGCCTTCCCAGACGCCAGACAGCGCTCCCTCCCCACTCTGGCACATCTTGGGCTGTCGTCGAGGCCCGAGGAGACCCCCAGAGACCCCAGGAGAACATCAAGAGGCGCTGTCGGCTCGCACCATTCAACTTACACCGCAAAGATTACACTAAGAATAGCTTGCGCAGCATAGCCTGCCCCACGAGAAGCCCAGCCCAAACCACCAGGAACCGCGCCCAAACCAGGCCACCCCAGGGAGATCGCAAGGAGGTCTCGTGCGCAGCCGAGCCCAAAGAAGACCCAACAAGGCAAAGCGTGAGGAAGTAGCGGGCGGCACCACGCCCTAACAATACCAACCAAGGCAAGTCACTAGGACGTCTCAAGCGAGATCGCGCCGAAACCAAGACACACGAGGCAAAGTGCAAGAACTTCTCAGGCGAAACCGCGCAAAAACAATGCCAAACCAAGCAAAGTGGAGGACGTGTCAAGCGAAATCCGGCCCCAAACCAGGCCAGCGGCCCAAACCAGGTAATACCTGAGAATCCCACCAGCCCAACGGGCGTAGGTGGTCTAGAGGCTGATCTTCCAACCCCCTTCTTCCCCTTCGGGGAGGGGTGTTTCACTTTCCCTATGACCCAGGCGACCAGCAGCCAACCAGGAACCATGCTCCCCCCCATCCCTTGCAAAAAAACAATCGGAAACTCACTCAGCCTCCAAATTCGAAGCATGCGCCCCCCCCCCCATCCCTGAAATACAAAGTACACTTTGGGGCAAGTCTGGAGTCATGTTCGTCAGGCCCGCGAGCACTTCGTATTGCTCTTTGGACAGGGACCGCGGAGGGGTCAGCAGATTGTCTGCTGTGCGCAGGGCTACCATCCCAAACGAAACACAATACCAAAAACACTTCGCGGCTAAATCTGGATCATGCGCGGCCACCCCGCGATCATTGTCAAGTGGTTTTTGACAGGGGCGGCGGCCGTGGTGGCGTATGGCCTGCTGTGCGCAGGCCCACCAGACGCAATGATCGGCATTGGTTTTCGAAAAGGATGGTGGGGGCCGACAGGTTTCCCGATGTGTACTGTCACGTGCGCAGGCGCACCTGACACACTCTGCACGTGCCCCGAACGCGGCGCACCTGGCGCGGCTGGAGTATGCGGCACACCTGGCGCACGCGGAGGCACGTGGCGGATCTGGCGCACAAGGCGTGCCTGGCACGCTCGGACCCCAGGGTGCCTGGCGCGCGTGGCGAGCCTCGCACGCGTGGCGCACCTCGCCCAAACGTCGCGCACATGGGCTCGGTCGTGGTTCCCAGTAGCCGTCCATCCAAAGACGACCGCTGAACATGCTGAGACTCGAGTGTTAGTTGTGTGTTGGGAGGGCGGGTGGGAGTGAGCTAGACAGCTTGCTATCTGGAGAGTGTCCTGACCCCTCCCCCTACACCCTCCCCTGGACCTGGACAGCTCCAAGAGGGCCTCAGAAAGCACAGGATGACCTTCAAGATGGCACAAGATAGCCAAAGATGCCGCAAGATGGCTCCCAAGATGCCCAAAAGGCCCCAAGACCGTCCCAAGAAGGTTCTACGTGGCCACGGAGCGTCTCAGGGAGGCCCTCAGAGGCCAAAACCTAGCCAAAACCGATTGAAAATCTATGAATGTTCCCTTGTCACCTTTTGGCGTTCGATGGCCTGCCGAGGCCTCAAGACAGCTCGAAGAGAGGCCAGAGAGAGTCCCAAAACGGTCCCAAGAGCGCCCAAGAGTGCCCCAAGAGCGCTCCAAGAGGGGCCCAAGAGACAATTCTAGGCACTCTAGAGGGGCAGCCTAATTGAAGCTCCTCCCTTCTTCAATCGATGTCCTCCAAGATGGCTCCAAGAGCGCCCACAGGCCTGACAAGAGCGCCCCAAGACGGTCCAAAAAGGCGCCAATGAGGCCGCAAGAGGCGCCCAAGAGACCTCCAGGAGGCTCCCAAGAGTCCCCCAAGAGGCCCAAAGAAGCTGCTCACCGCGGTACGCAAGAGACCCCTGGGACCGCCAAGAGGCCCCCAAGACGCCCCAAGAAGCTCCCAAGCTCGCCTTTGTCCTCATCATCATCCTCCTCCTCCTCCTCCTTGTCCTCCTCCTTGTCCTCCTCCTCTTCATCCCCATATTTCTCCCCGTCCTCCTCCCTCCTCCCCCGCCCTCACCTCATTCTCCTCCTTCTCCTCCTCCAGTCCTCCTCCACTCCTTCTCCTTATAGATAACTCCTCCCTGTCCCACCCCGAGGCCAGTCTTTAGAGCGGGCCGGGCGTTCCGCCTGAGACTTCCTCACCATATATGACTCTGAAGCTTAAAAAGTGACAACGGCTTTACAGATGGAGGGCGGGTGGTGTTCAACATGTGGCTCTCGCCTGTGCGCCGCGCGCATTCGTCTCAAAAAATGCAAAAAAAACTTACGGATTGAGGGCGGGTCGTTTTCAAAATGTGGCTCTCGCCTTAGCGCCGCGCGCATTCGTTTTAAGAAATTGCAAGAGCTTTACGGATGTAGGGCGGGTGTTCAAAATGTTGATCTCGCGTTAGCGCCGCGCAAATTGCAAGACCTTTACGGATTGAGGGCGGGTGGTTTTCAAAATGTGGCTCTCGCCTTAGCGCCGCGCACACTCGTTTTAAGAATGTACAAGAGTATCACGGATTGGGGGCGGGTCGTTTCCAAAATGTGGATCTCGCCTTAGCGCCGCGCGCATTCGTTTTAAGAAATTGCAAGAGCTTTACGGATGTAGGGCGGGTGTTCAAAATGTTGATCTCGCGTTAGCGCCGCGCAAATTGCAAGACCTTTACGGATTGAGGGCGGGTGGTTTTCAAAATGTGGCTCTCGCCTTAGCGCCGCGCACACTCGTTTTAAGAATGTACAAGAGTATCACGGATTGAGGGCGGGTCGTTTCCAAAATGTGGATCTCGCCTTAGCGCCGCGCACATTCGTTTTAAAAATGTGCAAGACTTCCACGGATTGAGGGCGGCTCCATGTCAAAATGTGGCTCTCGCATTAGCGCCGCGCACATTCGTGCGGGTGGTTTTCAGGATGTGGCTCTCGCCTAAGCGCTCCGCATATTAGGTTTTTATTTCTGTCAGTTCAAGAGCTTCACGGATTGAGGGCGGGTCGTTTTCAAAATGTGGCTCTCGCCTTAGAACCGCGCACATTCGCTTTAATCATTTGCAAGAATTCCACGGATTCCCATGATCAGCGTACCAAAAAAAAGTTTGTTTGGAAGGATTCAAGATTGAGCGGGTGCAACAACTATGTTGGTTCGTGGTATTGGAGTCCAAAAAATGGCGCTCTGGCACGACTCCGGATCGTCAAGAGGCAGCAGTCAGGTTGATACGTGGCGTTGAAATCCCGAGAACAATGTTTTCAACTGGTTGTCTTCCAACGAGGCTGTTCCCTCAATCGAGATGAACCGTTGTGGGGGCCTATGAAGAGGGAGCTTGGAGGGAAGGTTAATTCCAACATCGTTGATGACTTTGGGTTGTAGACTGGTCCTCCTGCTCCTCATCCTCCTCCTCCTCCTCCGCCTCCTCCTCTTCCTCATCATCCTCCTGCTCCTGCTCATCCTCCTCCTCATCCCCCTCGTTCTTCTCCCCCGCCTTTCCTCATTCGGCAGGTCCGCGAAGGCGCATACGGTTCAATCCTAGATCTGCGCAGGCTGATCCAAGACTTCAATTTGACGGCTTCCCAAGCTCTTGGCCCACTGCATGCTCCTCCGCTTCCCTGATCAAGGCACCTCGCCTGGACATCGTTTGTGGATGGGCTGGTGGGGATTTTTGGCCAACAGGCTCGCGAGGCGAGTCGAAAGCCGTCCGAATACTAGTGGGCCGGCTGGTGGGGATTTTTGTTGCAGCAGCCGCAAGCGAAAGCGCAGGCGGCGTCAAACGGGACGGGCGGGCCACGTGCGAACCTAATTGCCTAACGCGCCAGCAAACAGAGGCCTAAGCGGCACCTCAGCGGACTGGAAGCGGGAGGTGGCTGGTTGGGATACGCGAAGCGTCAGACCAAGCATAATTGGCCAAACCAAGCCAAACTAATCCAGGCAAGGGGCCAAACTGGGCAATTTCGGCCCTCCTTACCCAACTCATTACTATCATCCTACCCCGACTCCTCCGAAAGGAAGGAGGTCACTGCTAGACGAACGCACGGCCGCAAAATCTGCCCCGAAACTGCTGTCGCTGTCGGAACTCATGAAGCCAAGCGCTCCGCATCCGAGCTAACTACACCCCTCGCCCCGCTTGGAAACGAGGCGTATGCAGGGCTTCGCTACGTGAGAATGTCAGGCCCAGCACACCCCGCGCTTCCTGTAATGCAAAACAAATGCGTGGACAACTCCGTCCGTCCGACCATCAATGCGCTGACCTCTTTCCGCATCACCGAGACATGACAGCAACAGCCAAGGAGTAAGAGGAAGGCTCCTTGTGACCAACACCAACAGTTCGGCCACGGTCAGGGGTGCGGAACTTCCGGAACTGCGCGCGGAACTGGTCGCTACCCCATTATCCTTTCCGCCTCCTCCTCCTCCTCAGCCACCTCCTCCGCCTCCTCCGCATCCTTCTCCCCCTCCTCCCCTCCCTCCTCCTGGGATATGGGCAAGGACAAGAAAGTCAGTTGCCATAGTTCCAACGACATACCAGCCCCATCTCTTGTCACCAAACATCGCTCGGCCACCGGTATCAGCCCGCGATGCCGCGAAATTCCCTACGCCCGAAGGCTCGTCGCACCCAAATGGTCGAGCGATTCATTTACCTCGGCAGGTCCGTAGCTCAGGGGGCGTCTGTCTCGCCGTGGGAGGGGGGGAGGAGGAGGAGGAGGAGGAGGAGGAGGAGGAGGAGGAGGAGGAGGAGGAGGAGGAGGAGGAGGAAGAGAAGGAGGAGGGGGGGGGGGCACTTGGCGGCGGGGCCTCTCGCCCCTCAGTAGGGCCAGCGGGGACCTCGGGGCGCCAAAGTTTTCTCCTGGACGTCGTCGTCGTCGTCGCCGCCCTCCTCCGTCCTTCCTCTCCCCAGCGGTCAGTGTACGCGAGCCATGGCGGTGCGCGGCAGGAAACCTGGCAACAGCCATGCCACGCCCCCTTTCGCCGCGCTCCGATGCGTCAGCGAGCCCGGCCTTCACCAGCCCCTCCTTCACACCGTTAGCCCCCACAACCCCGTGGTGGCGCATGCTCGACTGCCCCGTTCCCCGACCTCGGAATACTGCAGGGGCGTCGTCCCCAGTCCTCGGCCACCCTTCGTCCTCGCAGCCCCGCGCACGACCGCCACACCAGGACGGCGCGGCGCATGTCAGTGCCTCCAGCCTCTTTGTTCCTGGCAGCCCGGTTGAGGCCGCCCCACCAGGACGTCACAGGCGGGCTCGGCTGAACGCGCGCACCTGCCAGCGGCGGTCGGCGCCCTCCTCCTCCTCCTCCTTCTCCTCCTCCTCCTCCTCCTCCTCCTCCTCCTCCTCCTCCTCCTCCTCCTCCTCCTCCTCCTCCCCCCCCCGACGCGCGCTGAAAAGGCGGACAGGGCGCTTCGTCCGAGACATCCTCACCGTTTGTGACCCTGGGGCTTGAGATGCACAACAGCGCGCCACGGAAGGAAGGCGGGCCGTTTTCAGAAAGCGGCGCATTCGCCTTGGCGCCGCGCGCACTCGCCTGAAAACGTTGGAAGAGCTTCGGGCGCGGGGCGGGCCGTTGTCACCGCGCGGTTCGGGCATCAGCGCCGCGCACAGTCGTCTGAAACGTGTGCGCAGGGAGCTTCGCGGACGCAGGGCGGCTCCTGTTCCAAGATGTGGCTCTCGCCTGAGCGCCGCGGATTGGCATGTTGGCAGACGCCCCGGCCTCGAATACTCGTTCGGTTGACGTCCCACCAGGCAAAAATACACAACACCGTGTTGACGTCCCACCTGGTGTGTGTGTGTGTTTGTATGATGTTGTGTGTTTGTGTTTTTGTCCCACAGTGTGGTTAGCGAGCCCCACTTCCTTCCTCCTCATGAGGCCTTCCTCACCAAAGATAGCCCCGAGGCTTGAGATGCGCAACAGTTTCACAGGAGGAGGGCGGGTCATGTTCAAAATGCGCCGTTCGCCCTAGCGCCGCCCACATCCGTCTCCAGTATTGGTGTTAGCTTCAGATGATATGTTGGTTGACGTCCAGAGACGGTGTTTCGGCACGATGCAGGACTATCGGGGCGCAACATTCACGTTGATTCGCGATGGTGAAGTACCAAGAATGGCGTTCTGGCAGAATTCTGGATCGCAATGACGCAACACTGACACTGATTCGTAGCGCTGAAATCCCAGGAACGGTGATTTGGCACGGCCCAGGACTTTCAGACGGTTGCCATCCAACGGCCCATTCCCTCAATGGAAATAAACACTTGCGAGGACCGTTGAAGGGGCCACTTGGAAGGAGGGCTGATTGTTTATTGCAACATCACTGGTGGGTCTGAGGTTCGCACCGATCCTGGCGCGTAGCCGCGGACGGATGTCCTGGAAGTCCATCAACAGCATGAAGCCAAGCGCCCGCCAGCCTCATCCTGGCAAAGCTGGATCTAACCTGCGGCAAGATCGAATCAGCCTCATTATCTCGGCTTCCTAGATGGGGTCGGAGGATCGCGCCGCATCGCCGATGCATCGGCACTACATCGGCGATTGGGGCCCAATATTCTCCACGCTGACGCCGCCGATGCATCGCCGATGCATCGCCGACGTCGACAGTACATCGCCGATGCATCGCCGATACATCAGCGATGCATTGGCGTTGCAGCGCGATCCTTCGACCCCATCTACTCGGACCCCATCTAGGATGCCTCTATTATCGCTCAGCGGCTGGAATGTAGAGCGAGCGGCTCGCACGGAATGGACGGCGGTGAATACCACGAGGGCAGCAGCGCAAGGCTCGTGGGAAGAACGAAAAAGGGGCGCGCGCGCGCGCACACATACAAACGGAACCAGTCGACCTCCTCCTCCTCCTCCTCCCCCTCCTCCTCCCTCCTCCTCCTCCTCTCCTCCTCCTCCTCCTCCTCTCCTCCTCCTCCTCCTCCTCCTCCTCCTCCTCCTCCTCCTCCATCTGCTCCTCCTCCTCCTCCCTCAATCCCCTCCTGCCCCTTCCTCCCTCCTGCCTGTGAGTGGACAAGAGGGGGTACCAGCTCGAAGGGGGAACATCGACCTGGACTCGGCGACACATCGCCGGATAGCTCGGCGATAGGGCCTCGACAACGAAAACCTGACGCTCCTGGGCATCCCTATCGGCGACGCACGGATACTCTTGAGGGCCCATGCATCCCCCCCTGAGCCGATCCGCCACTGACGTTGCCCTTTGGTTCTCGGATCACAGGTCGGCTCCACGGCGGACGTTCGGGACGATCCGGGCACCCCCAAAACGCCCTCGGCGAGGCGAAGCCGCTGGAAAGCATCCCGAAGCCGAAGGCCGCCGAGAACCGACAGAAAGCTCCGAAAACCTCGGACCTCGAACCCTGAGCCGCTCCCCCCCTGACGTTGCCACTGGCTGCCTCCTTCTTCCCGCACCCCCTGGCTGGCCCAGTCGCGCCCCGGCCTCCCGGCAGTTGCCCTCCTCCTGCTGGATGACGACCACGGGGCAGCGCACCTCAGGGCTCGAGCGCCTTTGCTGCGAAACGACATCAAATCGAAAACGGTCCACGAAATCGTCATTAGTTCGAGCCCTGCTCAGGGAGGTGGCAGGCGGCGGCGGCGGCGGTCGCAGGATCCCCTGAGATCCTGACGCTGCACTCGTTTGACAGTGGGCGTTTTTTTGTACGTTTCGGGCCCCGGGGCCCTCACAGATCGATCTCGAAACATGGCGCAAGAAGCTGTGCCTCCGATGAATGGGGGGGCGATCATTGGGGGGGGAGAAAGATGCCTTTCTCGGGCCCTACAGGCCCCCTTTTGGCCCCTACAAGGCTCCTTTACTATTAGGTTGGGCATGTCCCTCTACAGGAGGAATATTCAAGAATGGTGGAAAAAGTCAGGTGACGACTTTTGTATTACTTGTTGACTCGATAATTTGTGTATGTTTGGAATATGTCTTGGTTCCCTTCCAAGGCCCGCCTGTAGGAGGACCTGCCCATCCTACCTTTAGGGGCCCTTTTTCGCAGCATCGGATCTCTGGAGGCATCGGGCCGCGCGACGGGCCAGGCCGCGAGGGCGTGGGGCGCGCCGTCGGAAGCGCAGGGGCTCGAGGGATGGGGTCGGAACACAACAGGGGCCCGACCAGAAGAACTCTTCCACAGGAAACCCAACCATGAGACCCCAGGACGTGCATGGATGTTTGGTGTGGGAGCGTCGCGTTTTCCATGGCAGAACCATCGAAACCCAAGAAACCCAGGGCACCCTGGAGGCAAGCAGGGTGCTTCTTGGCATGGGTCTCCACTGTACAGTCGGCCTGTATCACAAGGATGCGCGGTACTAATGCAAGGACCTTGGACGCCCATTTCGAAGCTTTCGAACCGGCGCGGCCAACGAAAGTGGCCAAAGATGGACCGATGGGCAAGGATGCACGGGTACCCTTGGGAAGGTTGCCCATCCTTACTATGCGGGTGACTGTAGATGGGGTCGGGGGATCGCGCTGCATCGCCGATACATCGGCGATTCATCGGCGATGCACCGGCGATGCACCAGCGATGCCTCGGCGGCGTCGGCGATGCAGCGGCGACGACAGCATCGAGAAAATCGGGCTGCACATCGAGTGCCTCGCCGATGCATCGACGATGCGGCGCGATCCTCCGACCCCATCCACTCCGACCCCATCTGCTGAGAGGTCTAGGACTGGCAATCGCTCGGACGTCCATTCCCTGTGTTTTTTTCGGTTTCGTGCGCGTTTTTTTCGCCAGATGGTCAAGGATGCTCTTCGAGGACTCCTCGCCGAAGGAAAAATGCACACGTCCGAGCGATGCCAAGAGGAAGGAGCAGGTCCCAGGGGGAAGACCAAGGCCCCGCGGCCCGCGCCCCTCGGGACCCTCCAGGGGGGAGGGCACGGGTTCGATCCGCTGGTGCACCCCACACTGCCGCAGACAGATGCCGCCCGCACGCCCCACCTGTCGGCAACCAATCGGGAGCTGCCTGCCGCAGGGGGGGCATCTGTTTCGGACGGCTCGGTGCAAAGGAAGGATCGCACTCTCTCTCTCTCTCTCTCTCTCTCTCACACGCATACACACATGTTTTGATCTGCGGGGCGAGAGCGAACCTCTTCCGCTAAAAGCTAGGCGGGCTACGCACAGCTTCAATACACACATACACACACACACACACACTGGGGCACACACCCATCTGCGCCCCCTCCCCCTGCCCCCCTCTGCGCGCCGCCGCATCCCACATGCCCCAACCCCAGGCCTTCCTCCGTGGCAGGCCCCCGGAGCCTCCGCATGTGCCAGCGGGCGCGCGCGCCGCTGCGAGAAGCGGAGGCCCGCACCCGGAACACACGGGGGAGCACGACGCCGCAGGCGGCCCTGGCTGCGCAGGTCGAGATCCCTGGGGGGGGCCTGAGGAGAGGGAGGCAAACAAATACAATCGACAGTGCGATCAGAAAATGGTCGATCGAAGAATACAATCGAAGAATACAATCGAAAGTGCGATCAAAAAATGGTCAAACAAGAAATCTGGGCCAGCTTCCCGGAAGCGTCTTAAAACAATTCTGGACGAACATCTGCTGCCAACGCTGGAAGAGGCGAACGTGCTCAAGAGACTGGGCCAGTCTTCCGGCAACACGGTTGAGAAACGCTGGCCCAGCTTTTCGGTGTGATCAGAGTGAGGGGGCCGAATGGTCATTCATTGTCCCTGGGTGCGTGGCTGAAGTGGATATCCGCGGTAAAGATTATGCTTGTTGCGTTGTTATTGTTGTTGCTGTTGTTGTTGCTGTTGTTGTTGCTGTTGCTGTTGCTGTTGTTGCTGTTGTCGTTCTCTCTCTGCTGTCATTCACTCTCTCTCGCTCTCGCTTTCGCTCGTCGCCGTCGTCGCCGTCGTCGTCGTTGACATCGTCTTCGGTCCCCTGTCCGTCCCTCTTGGGGTCGGGTTGCCGTCGATCAGCGCTGCCGCTGGCCAGGCCGACGGTCCGCGGCCGCCCCGCCGTTTGCCGGGACGGGGCCTGCAGGGAAGAAAGGTATACCCCTCAAAAGGGGAACGATCGAAGACGAAGAGGGCGGGTATCGAGGGTTTGGGACATACGCGTTAACGGACACTCGAGCAGATAGAAGCGAACAGTCTTACAAAGATTGTTGTTGGTGTTGGTGTTGTTGCTGTTGATGTTGGTGTTGTTGTGGTTGGTGTTGTTGTGGTGGTGGTAGTGGTGAACGTTGTTGGTGTTGTGTTTGTTGTTGTTAATGGTAGTGGTGTTGCTATTGTATGTGATTATTATTGTTGGTGTTGATGTTGTTGTTGTAGATATTGCTGTTGCTGTTGTTGGTGGTGGTGTGGGTGTTGTTGTTGGTGTTGTTGTTGGTGGTGGTGTTGTTGTTGGTGGTGTTGTTGGTGTGCTTGTTGTTGGTGGTGTTGGTGTTGTTGTTGCTGGTGGTGTTGTTGTTGTTGGTGGTGTTGTTGGTGTTGGTGTTGATGTTGGTGTTGTTGCTGTTGTTGCTTGTTGTTTGTTGTTTGTTCTTTATTGTTTGTTGTTTGTTGTTGTTGCTGTTGTTGTTGTCGTCGTCGTTCCCCCCGCGACCCACCCCGCGACCCACGCCGCGACCCACCAGCGACCCACTCAGACAGTCGAGCCAGACAATGGAAGCTCGACGGTCCAGGAGGAGGAGGAGGAGGAGGAAGAAGAGGAGGAGGAGGACCCCGTCCCCCTCAACTTATGGTGGTGGTGGTGGTGGAAAACAGGCCCATCACTCCTAGTAAAAGATCGTCTCCAGATTATTGTTTGCCTGTCTTTGCACATTCCTGCTGTAGAGGGACACGCCCGACTCAACCCTGGAGAAGGGCAACTTCCCCGCCCCGGCCGCAGCGCGCGAAGCGCCGGCCACCTTCGCGCCCCGCGTGGTGGCCCCGGAACTCTCGGCCGCACCGGGCGGACTGCTGACGGAGGGCATGCCAATCTCGGAGCCGGCGGGGAGTCTCATCTTAGGGGAACGAAACATGACATAAACACAAAAACTCGGAAGTCCGCGCGGCTTTCTCGGATCGGCGCCGGAGGCGCCGCCAGGGGGGTCCAGCGCGGATCCGAGAAATCCGCGCGGACCTCCGAGTTTTATGTTTATGTCATTTGTCGTGCCCATATTTCTTTCCCTGGCGCCATATTATTGTTGAGGGGGGGGCAGGGAAGGTCAAGGACCCGCGGGGCCTCGCACCTCTCCAGCCCGACGGCCCATCGCGCGCCACCTCCCGCGGCCTCCTGCCAGGGGCCCGATGCCAAGACCCTGGGTTCGCACAGCGAGGCAACTGCACGCGTCACCCAGAGAAAGGTGGTCAAGAGGGGGGGGGGATGAGCCAAAACCCGCTCAAAGGTCGATCCTTGGACCCCTCCTGGGGTCCAGACGCGCCAGATGCTTCGTCGAGCCGCGTCCAGCCGAGGCGACGAGAAGCCCCCAGGGGGCTACAAAAGAACAAAAAGGGTTCCCTTCCCCCCCCCTCTTGCTGGCCCATTTCGGAGCCCCAGCCAGTTCCAACACGCAAAAGGCTGTGAAAGTAGTGCTCGGACGCATGTGACCTTATTCGGGGGCGCGCAAACATGGATTAGCGATCCATGGACTTGGCGCGCGGTCGCCAAATCCATGGATCGGGGGAGGTACCCTCCCCAAAATACGGCGGGTCCCACCTCGCTCGGCGGCGGGAATCCGCGATTTCTCATGGAAGCGTGGCCCGTCGCTAATCCACGCCCCCTTGATCCATGTTTGCGATCGCCTGACGCAGCTCTCTGATCCTCCCTCCGCCCGAGGCCACCGTACTCGACAGCGCGCAGAGGGCGCCGAGGCAGCGGCGGGATGGGTGGGGCGCCTGCGCAGGGTGCCTCGCCGTCGCCGCCTTCTGCAGGCAGTACAGCCGCCTGTTGTCCAGAGTGTACCTCGGTGGGCTGCCGAGGGGTCCACGAGAGCATGTCCCGCAGACCCTCCTCCTCCTCCTCCTCCTCCTCCTCCTCCTCCTCCTCCTCCCTCCTCCTCCTCCTCCTCCTCTCCTCCTCTCCTCCTCCTCCTCCTCCTATCCCTCCCTTCCTCCCTCCCTCCCTGCCTCCTCCTGCCCCCCTCCCACCTCCCCCCCCCTCCCCCCTCCCTCCCTCCCTCCCGCTCTCCCTCCCCCCTCCCTCCCTCCCTCCCTCCCTCTCCCCCTCTCCCTCTCCCCCTCCCCCTCCTCCTCCTCCTCCCTCCCTCCTCCTCCTCCTCCTCTCTCCTCCTCCTCCTCCTCCTCCTCCTCCTCCTCCTCCTCGAAGCCTGGCTCGCCTTCCTGGGGTCCCCCCCTGGGGCCGTGCAGCCGACCCCCGCCCCCGGCTCACCGAGGCCTACAGTGCGGGGCGGGGACCTACACAGCTCCGCCGGGCGCCGCTGTCCTGGGAGATCAGAGCCCCCAAGGCAGCGGACGCGAATCGCACGCCGCATAATTATGAAGGGGCCCTGGGACACATAAATAATTACACAAAAAAAGGATGTCCCATAGTTTCCCATCTTTTCTGGGTTTTTGTCTTCCCCCCCACTTCCCATATTTTCCCATATTTTCCTGGGGGTCGACGATTACTTGTGTCTGTGTTTTTTCCCTCATGAAATCATGACGTCATGACCCGATTGGCCCAGGATGCGTTATCCCAGGGTTCCTTTTGGCACCTGACGGCGCTCGCCCCTGGAGCCTGCGCGGCACAGCAGCAAGCCTGGAAATCTTGGAACGCGTCATGGTCATGACTTCTTGCCTCAGGTCGGGCATGTCCTCCCACAGGCGGATTTTGGACGAAAAAATCAAACATACCAAAAGGCACTCAAGAATGCTCCAACAAATCCGCCGGCCCCCTTGTGGGGCCACCAGGCTGCGAGCGCGGGATTCGCAGTTACCTGTACCAGTTGTAGTTTCTAGTTTCCAGTGTTACAGTTCTGCTTCTTGCTGGTTACTGTAACTAGTTGACTTCTTGCTGGTTACTGTAACTAGTTGATTGACCGCGCGAGGGGGGGGGGAGGCCCAAACAGTATTTTTTAGCACCCCCTGGGCGCGTTGTCTGAATTGCTGGGGGGGCTCGAAATCGCCACCCCTCACGCAGATCGCGGGGTCAGGGTCCAAAAACACATGGGATTTGCCACATTTCTCAAATTCGGTGCCACCCCTCACGCAGATCCGCGGGGTCAGGGTCCAAAAACACAAGGGATGTGCCACATTTCTGAAATTCGGTGCCACCCCTCACGCAGATCCGCGGGGTCAGGGTCCAAAAACACATGGGATTTGCCACATTTCTGAAATTCGGTGCCACCCCTCACGCAGATCCGCGGGGTCAGGGTCCAAAAACACAGGGATTTGCCACATTTCTGAAATTCGGTGCCACCCCTCACGCAGATCCGCGGGGTCAGGGTCCAAAAACACATGGGATTTGCCACATTTCTGAAATTCGGTGCCACCCCTCACGCAGATCCGCGGGGTCAGGGTCCAAAAACACATGGGATTTGCCACATTTCTGAAATTCGGTGCCACCCCTCACGCAGATCCGCGGGGTCAGGGTCCAAAAACACATGGGATTTGCCACATTTCTGAAATTCGGTGCCACCCCTCACGCAGATCCGCGGGGTCAGGGTCCAAAAACACATGGGATTTGCCACATTTCTGAAATTCGGTGCCACCCCTCACGCAGATCCGCGGGGTCAGGGTCCAAAAACACATGGGGATTTGCCACATTTCTGAAATTCGGTGCCACCCCTCACGCAGATCCGCGGGGTCAGGGTCCAAAAACACATGGGATTTGCCACATTTCTGAAATTCGGTGCCACCCCTCACGCAGATCCGCGGGGTCAGGGTCCAAAAACACAGGGGATTTGCCACATTTCTGAAATTCGGTGCCACCCCTCACGCAGATCCGCGGGGTCAGGGTCCAAAAACACAGGGGATTTGCCACATTTCTGAAATTCGGTGCCACCCCTCACGCACATCCATCGCAAGGCGTGGTAACCCAAACTGCGAGTACTCCCTCGGCCCTTTAATCCCAAGGTGTGGTAACCAAGCTCGTAAACCATACACGTCTTACCAATCGCCCTGTGTGGTAACCCCTCTTGTGATCAGTTGGTTTTGCCGATTGCGAATCGGCCTCGCATGAAGTTCCGATACTGCTGCACGACAGCGCCAAAGCCTCATGACTTAGCTCTTCCATGGCCCATTCTCCGAGAGAGGGGGCCGGCGGCAGGGGGCGAAGCCCTTACGGATCATTGAAACATCGTCCCCCGACTATGTTTTGACTACTTTGGAGCCTTCCTCCTGTAGAGGGACACGCCCCTCTCACATGCCCCCCCCCACCCCCCGCGGAGCTTCCGGAGCCCCGAAACGGTGCGGTGACAGACCGTGCGGTGACCTCGAGATCCCCCAGACCTCACCGCACGGTCCGCCACCGCACGGTCTTGGGACCTCGGAGGCCCCTGTCGCCCGAGACGGTGCGGTGACCCCGAATCCCTGAAGGGGCCCTGGGACACACAAATAAATACACAAAAATAACAAGATTCCCAATAGTTTCCCATACTTTCTGTGTTTTTGTCTTCCCCCCCTTCCCATATTTTCCCATATTCTCGGGGGATCGACGATTACTTGTGTCGGCGTGTTTTGTTTACCTTCCCGAATGCCCACCGACTCACCGCGCGGTGTGGTCACCGCCCCGTTTGGGGGGCCCCCGCGGAGCGGCAGCCGCGCGGCCCGCCCGGCGCGCCACTCCCTCTCCCCGTACAGCTCGTTCCCGGCGGCGTCCACGCTGACAGTGCCGTCCTCCTGCGCGGGCGCCAGCCGCCCTTCGCAGCATTAGGTCGGGCCACAGTCCCACTCGCCCCCGCCGCGCCCACCTGCATCTGGAGCGCGCATGGCCGATCTTGTGTAAGACCTATCTGGTTCAAGCGTCGGTGGAAGTTGTAGTTTTCCTTATCCCACTGGGCGGTTACTGAATGTGAGCACCTGCTCTCCTCTCTCCACTGAACCTGCGCCTTCGTAGCCCCGCCTATCCCGCCGATTGCCTTCCACACGCAGGATTTGAGCAGATGTCTGTGAATTATACATACATATATATATGTGTATATATATATATATATATATATATATATATGTATACGTATACTTATGCGTGTGTATATATAGATGTGTGTATGTATATACATGGCCTCCCCACTTGGTCTTTGCCAAAGACACCTGCACTGTTTGAGGAACCCGTGGGTGCCCAGCGCGGATGGCCCCCGCGCTATTCAAGCTATTCGGGACTCTCCGCTTCTGCTTCCCTGCAGAACGGCTCCTCGGGGGGGTCCCCGGCCCCGGCTCCTTACACGGGGGCCCTCGGCCCCCCGGCCTTGGTCTTTGCCCTCCCTCCCTGGGCTCCCCAGGATTGTCCCTCGGACTCCCAGACCTTGTTCCTGCTTGGGCTCCTCGGGTTCCCTAGCCGACCAGCCACAACTGAGGGAGCTGTGGTCCTTACCCCCCTGGGGGAACCCATCGCGTCGACGATCTCTCGAGAGGGGTACCGAAATCGATGGGTCCCCCAGGGGGGTAAGGACCACAGCTCCCCCAGTTGTGGCTGGCCTGCCTAGTCTTGCTCCCTGCTTGGGTCCCTCGGGCTCCCCAGTCTTGTTCGCTCGGGTGCCTCGGGTGCCCCACCGGTCCTGTTCCTTGCTCGGGTTCCTCGGGGTCCCTGGTCGTGATCCTCGGGCCCCCGAGGCACCGTCAGGCAATGCAGAGCACTGCCAGCGAATGCAACGCAATGCCACACAGCCGAGCAGCCCCAACCAATGCCAAGCAATACGAAAAAAAAAAAAATGACACGCAACACCAGGCAATGCGCCGAGGGTTCGCGCCGGGCTCAAATAGGTACATTAGCCTCTAACACCGAATTTGTAAGGGTTTCCGATATGGAGCTCCCGCTACAGCGCTGGCCTCCTCCTCTTCCTCCTCCTCCTCCTCCTCCTCCTCCTCCTCCTCCTCCCTCCTCCTCCTCCTCCTCCTCGCGATCGGCGCACTGCTCCCACCGCGCAGAATTGCGCTCCCGCCCCGGCGCGGGCCGCATTGCTGACACCGATCTGCTCCTCGTCGCTGTCGCCCCCCTATCCATTCCCCTCCCCCGCCTTCCCCTGGTCCTCCCGGTCCCCCCGCTGCTCCTACTCCTGCTCCTGCTGCTGAGATTATTTGTCCTCTTCCTACTGCCCATCCTCCTGCTCATCCACCACCTTGTCGTCTTCCAGCATACGCAGTTCCCCTTTCCGATTGCGCATCACACGATGGTGTCAATAGGGGGACTCCGGGTCCGCAAGGACATCCGTTGGCGGATAAAGAAAGAAAAACTGCGCCTTGGTAAGGGACGCGTGGGAGGGGTCGGATGTCAGATCTGGCGCGCGGACCTGGCTTGTCCTTCTCCCACTCCCCTCGCCTGGGCGGCTGCATCCCAGCGGGTTCCAGGCGAAGCCTTTTAAGGACACCCAAAGTCTCATGACACATCTGACCTTCCCCAGGAATTCCCACGAATCAACCAGCCACATGTTGCGTACCTTCCTTCGCGTATTCAAATACGAAACACGTTCCAAATGCGCACGCACCAAGCGGTTGTTCGATGCCCCCCTTTCCGCGGACGTACCGTTACTCGTGAAGAACACGACGCCATGGGCTCGACACGTGAAAGCACGCCGCATGTTGGATACCCCCCTCCGCGCACGCGTTGTCGCGTGTCACAAGCCCGCGCACGTTCCACACGCGCACGCGCCACACGCATGTAGGACACCCCCCCCTCCTCGTACATATTTCTACGTGCGATGAATTCGTCGACCACATGCGATCTTGACGTCTGAAGTCGCGTCCCAGGTGCGCACTCGCCAGACGCATGTTGGATACCCCCGCCCCACGCACGTGCTGCTGCCCGTGAGGACTACGACGCCACTGGCTCCACACGTGAAAACACGCCGCATGTTGAACAACCCCCATCCGCACACACATACACGTGCGAAGAATCCACCGATCATATTCGTATACCCCCCTCGCGCCCGAACACCTGAAATCACTTCCGAGTGCGCACGCGCCCGGGGCATGTTGGATACCCCTCTCCGCGCACGTGTTCCACGTGCGGAGAATCCGCCGAAACGAACCAGGGTTGCGGCGAGGGCTACAAAGCCAGGGCCAGGAACGAGGTCCCGTTTTAGGCTTGCGCGAACAAACGAACAACGAAAAGAACAACGAATCAGGGCTGCGGCGAGGGCTGCAAGGGCAGGGCTAAGGCGAGGGGCGAGGTACCGTTTGAGGCTCGTCCGAAAACAATCAACAAACGAAAAACGAACCAGGGTTGCAGCGAGGGCTTCAGGGCCAGGGCCACCTCTTGTGGACGCGCACGCCAGAAGCACGTTGGGCCCCCCCCCCTCCGCGCATGTAGGTTTGCGTGTGATGACTCCGCCAACCACATGTTGGACATCTCCCTTCGCGCCAACTCACGTGAAAACATACCCCCAATGCGCGCGCGCGCCAGAAGCGTGTTGGATGATCCCTTTCGCGCGCACTTATTTACACATGTTGGAACCCGACGACTACATGCTGGATCCACAGACCACATGTTGGACACCCCCTTCGCGCCGACACCCTGGAACACACATCCTAACCGCGCGCCAGACGCATGCTGGACAACCCCCTCCACGCACATGTGTTTACGTGCGATGACTCGTCGACCGCATGTTGAATAACACCCATCGGCGCTGACGCTGAATAACTCGTCCCAAGTGAGCACGCGCCAGACGCATGTTAGAGAGCCCCACCCTGCGCACGTATTACACGCGCGGAGAATATGCCGACAACGTGTTGGATGTCCTTCATGGCGCCGGCTCACATGAAACCAGCCCTAAAACGCGCACGCGCCAGGCAGGTGCTGGATACCTCCCTCCGCGCACGTAACTTTACACGTGAAAAAATCAGGCGCCGCCCGCTCGACGCGTGAAAACACGTCCCAGGTGTGCATGCGCCAGACGCATGTTGTGCAACCCCCTACACGCACGGACTTGCACGTGTGGACAATCCTGCGACCACATGATGGATACGCCCGTGGAAACCTACATCGCGAAAGCACGTCCCAAATGCGCATGCGCCAGACGTGTTAAAGATACCGCCTTCGCGCAAGTAGACTCACGCGTGAAGAATCCAGCCGCCACCTGTTCAAGAAAGGTCCGCCCACTGAAAAAAGAACCCTGACCTGGAGCCCTCTCGGAAAACTAGTGTCCCCGCTGTTGCGTGGGTCACGTTTCAGGGTGGGCCACGTTGCAACTGTCGTTCAGACTGGCGCTATCGCCCCAAGGCGGGCCACATGTCTGGATGCGGTTCCTTCCTTGACGTTGCCGCCCACTCCTTTCCCCATGCCTGCCTTCCGCTGATTCTCCCGCTTCTCCCGCTCCTCCTTCTCCTTCAGTTCCTGCTGCTCCTCCTCGCCCTCGTCCTCCTCCTCCTCCTCCTCCTCCTCCTCCTCCTCCTCCTCCTCCTCCTCCTCCTCATCCTCCTCATCCTCCTCCTCCTCCACCTCCCCCTCCTCCTCCTCCCCGTCCCACTCCTTCTCCCCCTCCTCCTCCTCCTCCTCCTCCTCCTCCTCCTCCTCCTCCTCCTCCGCCTCCTCCTGCTCATCCTCCTGCTCTTCTGCCACCTCCTCCTCCTCCTCCAGTGTATACAGCCGCCCCTCCCTGATAGCGCATGGCACGATGGGGCATTTGGGGCAGCAAGGTCCTCTAGGACACCCCCGTCGGCGAATAGAACATACCCGGTGACGTACCCAGCCCTTTTTCTATACATGTGGCGAATGGATCGAGGACCGCTGCCTACAAACGAAGGACTCGCAGTGCACATGAGTGTCCAAAAGGACACGGAATCAACACGCAGGAATGGTCAAACACGGACGGGGACAGAAGCATGCGGAGGAGGGTGAAGGGGGAACATACATGGCCAGTGGCAGTAGCAGCGCCGAGCGATACACACGCGAAACAGAACAGCGCCATGCGCTCCGATGCAAAACCGCGCGTCGCGCGGAGCGGGCAAGCACGACGCGCTGTTCTGCTTCAGAGCTGGCAGCCCCCCAAAGAGCCGCAAGGTCTCGACGGGATCCCCAGACCACTCCACTCCGCGAGAGCTCCCAGGAGCCCACGAGAGTGGCAACAGGTTCACGCTTCGCACACCCCCCAGGGAGCCGCAAGGTCCCAAATGGATCCCCGAACCCCACTCCGCGCGATCTCCCAGGAGCCAACGAAAATGGCGACAGCTTCGTGCTTCGCAACCTGGCAGGAAACCGCGGGTTCTCAACTGGGTCCCCGTGTAACTTCATTCCGTACGACCTCCCAGGAAAACACTTTTTTATCTGCGGGGCGAGAGCGAACCTTTTCCGCTAAAAGCTAGGCGGGCTACGCACAGCTTTAATGAGGGAGACAGGGCACAGGAAGGCGCCCTCCCAGGAACACACGAAAGCGGCGACAAACGATCGCTTCGCAGCCCCCCAGGGAGCCCTGAGGTCTCAACTGGGCCCCCTGCAACTCCACTCCGCGCGACCTCCCAGGAGCCCAAGAAGATGGCAGCAGTTGCACGCTTCGCAGCCCCCAAAGAGCCGCGAGGTCTCAACTGGGTCCCCGTGTAACTCCATTCCGCGCGATCTCCCAAGAGCCCACGAAAGTGGCGACAAATTCACGCTTTGCAGCCCCCTCAAGGAGCCGCGAGGTCTCAACTGGGTCCCCGTGTGACAAACTCCACGCGACCTCCCATGACCCCACGAAAATGGCGACAGGTTCGCGCTTCGCAACCCCGCCAGAAGCCGCGGGTTCTCAACTGAGTCCCCGTGTAACTCAACTCCGTGCGACCTCCCGGGAACACACGAAAGTGGCGACAAACGATCGCTTCGCAGCCCCCTCAAGGAGCCGCGAGGTCTCAACTGGGTCCCCGTGTAACTCCATTCCGCGCGATCTCCCAGGAGCCCACGAAAGTGGCGACAGATTCGCGCTTCGCAGCCCCCTCAAGGAGCCGCGAGGTCTCAACTGGGTCCCCGTGTGACAAACTCCACGCGACCTCCCAGGAGCCCACGAACATGGCGACAGCTTCGCGCCTCGCAGCCCCCCAGGAAGCCGCGAGGTCCGAAACGGACCCCCGTGCAACTCCGCTCCGCGCGACCTCCTGGGAGGCCACAAAGATGGCAACAAGTTCACGGGAGCCGCGAGATCTCAGCGGGGTCCCCGTGCAACTCCGTTCCGCGCGATCTCCTGGGAGCCCACGAGAGAGGCAGAGGGCATGAGAGAGAGGAGACGGGGGGGCAGGAGAGGGGAGGCGGGGAGGAGGGGAGACGCGACCAAGGTGCTCTATCCAAAACGAAGAGCCCAGCACAGGAGGCAAGATGATGGCTGAGGCATGGGAAAGGATGGATGAAAGCGGCGAGGCGTCAGAGACGGCGCGAACGCACATGGCTTGTCCTCCCATGCTTCCCACCGCCCCAGCCCTGCACCCCCCCCCCCTCATCCAGCTCCCTTCCCCCATTGCTCTCTTCCCCTCTCTCCCCCTCCTCCCCTCCTCCCCTCCCCTCCCATTCTCCCATTCCTCCCCAGCATCCCGCTCCACCCACACGCCGTCCCTCGTTCCCCCTCACTCCTCATGGTCCCTTCACCCCCTCGGGGGTGAAGAGGGGGAGAGGAGAGGAAGGAGCGAGGGAGGGAGTCAGGAGGGTGGGGCAGAGGACGAGGCGGAGACGGCGGCGGAGGACACCATCCGCACTCTCCCCCTATCCTGTCCCCCCTTCCTTTGTGGGCCCCGGAAACGGCAGGGCCGTTTTTTCACCGTTTCCAGAAAAATGCCCCTTGAAAATCGAAACGGCAAAAAACGGCGACAGGAAACGGCAAAAAAACAGCTCCAGGATTGGAACCGGAGCAGGAACCGGTCAAAAAACGGCGACGGATCCGGTAAAAAAACGGCGTCGGAACCGGCAGAAAAACGGCAAAACGGAACCGGTAAAAAAACGGCCCTGTCGTTTCCAGGGCCCCTGTCCCCCCCCCACGCCACCCCCCCCCCCAGACACTCTTCCACTCTTCCACTGCATTCCGCTGGCAGTCCGCCTCCCGGGCGGGGGCTCCAGCGCCGATCCACGCAGTCCGCACGGACCTCTCCGAGAGAGTGCACGCTCATGAGACGTGCTCGCTCTCGGTCGAGCCCCCGCTCTCGCGCCGCTCTCGCGCAGCGTCGTCGTGGGACCTCGTCCGCCCCGTCGCGCAACGATCCGAGACGATCCGCGTCGAGGACGCATCGAGCCCACGTCGAGCGTCGAACCCGCGTCGGATCCGTGCTGAATTCGCGTCGAGCCCACGTCGAATCCACGCTGAACGCACGTCGGGCACAAGAGAAGGCGGCCAGCCGCAGGGCAGGCAACCGGCCCCCAGACGAGGCACCGCGGCGGGTCCTCTCTCAGCTTGCAGCGCCACTGGATGACCTCGATCTCCGGGAACGGCGGCTTCAGGAGCCTGGGCGCCCTCGACCCTGTCGCCGCTGTCGTCGTAGGGGGAGGAGGAGGCAAGGAGGAGGCCTGGAGCAAGCCCAGGACGCGTCCACGGGAGGCGCCCCCCCTCCCGCCGCCGCTCGGACGCCCCCTCTCCCCGCGCACGCTTCCGCCTCGTGCGCTGCTGCTTCCGCAGGACGGCCCAGTATGCTCCTCGATGGCCCGCGCCGGGAAGAGATGCACACGACACGGCCGGGCGATGCCGAGATGAGAAGCCGGTGGGCCTGCCTTGACTTGGGCGAGCGCCCCGCTTTCGAGCAGGCACTGCCCTCGTCCTTCCGACCGGGAGGCGAAACCAGGAGCGAAAAAAGGGAGGGAGACGGCGCTACGTAACACAGCATCATACATCAGCATCAGCATCAGCATCAGCATCAGCATCAGCATCAGCATCAGCATCAGCAGCATCAGCATCAGCATCATCATCATCAGCCTCATCATCAGCATCACCATCACCATCACCATCATCATCATCATCATCATCATCATCATCATCATCATCATCATCATCATCATCATCATCATCACCACCACCAGCACCATCACCATCACCACCATCACCATCACCACCATCACCATCACCATCACCATCACCATCATCATCATCATCATCATCATCAGCAGCAGCATCATCATCATCATCATCAGCATCATCATCATCATCATCATCATCATCATCACATCGTCATCAGCATCATCATCAGCAGCAGCATCAGCATCAGCATCAGCATCGACAGCAGCATCAGCAGCATCATCAGCATCATCAGCATCATCAGTGTCATCAGTGTCATCATCATCATAATCATGACCATCATCATCAACAACAACTTCATCATCATCACCACCAGCAGTATCATAATCAGCAGCAGCAGCATCATCAGCATCAATATCATCATCATCAGCAGCAGCATCATCAACATCAGCAGCAGCATCACCACCATCATCATCAGCAGCATCATCAGCATCATCATCAGGAGCAGCATCATCATCACCAGCATCAGCATCATAATCGTCAGCATCACCAGCAGCATCAGCATCATCATCAGCAGCACCATCATCAGCATCAGCATCATCAGAAGCATCATCATCTGCGTCATCATCAGCATCGTCAATATAACCGTCATCATCGTCATCATCATCAGCACCATCATACTCATAACCTTATATCAGTATCATAATCAGCAGTGGCACCACCAGCATCTTCAACAACATCCCCACCATCATCATCAACGCATCAATAATACTCACCTTTATCATCATCAGTACCACCACCATCGTTGTAACTGCTGCCAGTTCTTAAGACAGATGTGCGCGGCGTGCAGGCGAGAGCGCCATGTTGACCCCCTCCCTCCACCAAGCTTCTAGGATGGATGTGCGCGGTGCTCAGGCGAGAGCGTAATACTGAACTTCCCCCCCTCACCTGTGCAACTGTTCCACATGCCAAGCGTCATGATCGTGAATGGCGAAGACGTCTCAGGCGAATTGTCTGGCCCGCCCTACCGACACGTCTCGAGACGCAACAAGGAAGCCATTTATCTGGAAAGGGATGGAGGAGGAAGAGGAAGACGACGGCAACGACGAACGAGCGAGGAAGGAGGCGGAGACGCAGAGATGGGGTAATTAGGTAGGCATTGTGTTGAGCGACGCGTGTCTCCCCTTCAGCAGTTGAAGCTACACTCGTTGGCCCCATCAATGCTACGTGGACGCAAAACCGCCGTTCTGAAGATTGAATTGGCATGGAGGCGCCGCCATCCCACCATCCCTCATCCCTCTTCAACCCAACCTCCTCCCGTCAGCCCCTCTGATCTCCGCCCCCCTCATCATCACTCCCTCTCCTGCCTTCTCCCTCCTTCCTCTCGCATCCCACCTCTCGCACCCATCATCTCCCCACTTCATCCCCTCCTCCATCACGACTGCGTCCACATCCTCCTCCTGCCTGGTCACTGCCTGCCTCTCCCCGCTCCTCACTGCCGCCGCCCACTTCGTCGGCATCCTCAAACTCACCTCCATCCCTGTGTTGCCCCTGTTCTTGCTCCATCACAGTTTCCTCGTCATCCTCCTCCTCTCCCTCATCGCGGTCATCCCCACCAGTACAGTTATCTCATCAGCAAGGAGCAAAGAGCAAGTCCTTGCAGCAAAGCTGGCCGGCTAGGGAGAGGACCTGGGGGGGTACTCAGTTGACGAACTTGGCCTGTGCAACCCAAGGGACAAAATCTTGCTGGTGTTGGCGGCAATGGTCACCGGCTGCCAACGCACGCCATGCGTCCAAACTATACTCGTTTCAATACTGATTGGTACAATCTTCAAACCGCATCCACCTTCGCGACAACGGCCTCCTTAGACGCAATGCTCCTAGCTCGTTGGCAGCAACCTGCAACTGAGCGCCGCGCCAATCCGTAATTCTATACGTTTGTCCTTTGTTGCTGCTTCGCCTGCCCAGTGCAATTTCCTTTTGAAGTGCACTGGGGTCCATCGATTTACTGCGCAGTCGCGAGCCAGACGCCCGGCTCTGCAAATTGCTTTCTGCGCCCACTCGACCCCCGGCTCGTCGCCATGCCGCGCAACCCCGAGGATGCACCTCAGCATCGTGTGTCGCGTGACTCGCAGCGCTCTCAATTCCGCAGCCCTGGTCTCCAAGATTCCGAGCACCACAAAATGCACCCGGCGACTGTGCGATCGAAAAGGCGCAGCCTCTTTTTGACCGAAAGCGACAGATTGAGAATCAATTTCTTCATGGACCAAGAATTTTCGCCAACCGGCGGCATTGCGATTAGCAATTTCGACCCCAGCGGGATCATCCACCGACAACGCTGTGCCCAACATTTCCAGATTTTTTCGTGGTGGTGGAACTTGTGCTTGGAATCGTTCGGCAAGGCTGATTTGCCCTCGTCGAGGAAGGTGTCGCTGGTCGCTTGGACCTTGCACTCTGCGGGATGCAAAGATAAACCCCTGTCGGAGAACACAGACCGCATAATCAAAATCATTCTCGCGATAGAAACCCAACGTCTTTGCGATCAGTACGCACATGCAATATGCGCGACGCGATGCCCCCGGAGCTCGTACCTGACATAGGTGCCGCACTCCCTCTTCCATACCTCATTCACTTCCGCCAGTACTCCCTCCAACACCAACTTGAAAGAGAATTCGAGAGAGGGCGTCGCCCTGCTTAACGCCCCTGTCCACGTCGAAGTGTTGGCTGTCCACCCATGGCCACATAGACACGAGTCCCCTGACTCCCAAATGCAAGCGCCTCAACACAGAAACGATGGACATGTCAATGCGGTTGCGCAAGAGAGCGTCGAAGAGCGCAACATGATGGGCACGACCGAGAGCATTCTCCACATCCAAAGTAGCAGCCCAGAGCTCTTCACCCCATTTCGAAACCTTGTCGACAACCTTTCGTGCGATGTGCACTGCGTCTGCGCACCCACGGGCGGGGTCGGAATCCAAATTGTTCCGGGAAGAATTTGGCGCCGATGTCGGCGGTGACCACGTTGTACAACACAGTGCTGGATAGAATTCGCCGATAAGCCGATAATTATTGGCATTAACGGGTCTCCCTTCTTAAACAACACGCGTAATGCTGCAGTCTTCCCCTTCTGCTGGCGGCGGCAAAGCACCCCGTGAGATCTCAGCGAAGAAATCTGCAAGGGTTGTAATAAGACCACCGTGTCCAGTCTTAAGCACTTCTGCAACCAAGCCATCATCCGCCCCTGGTCTGCCCTTCTCTAAATGTCCGCAGTGTCCTGTTCAATTCAACCTCTGTGGCTTGAGCTTCGTGCGAATATGCATCTGGACCTGCCGAGTGCCTTTCTGCTCCGCGGTAGAGGTCATCGCAAGAAGCCGCGCACACTTCGCAAGTCGAGATGCCATCCGTACGCATAACCCCGCTGCTATCCTGGATCCTCAACGTTATCAAGGCACCACTGTGTCTCCGTTCAAATTTTCGTAGCGCCCCAGACCCAGAACCTTTGAGCAGTAGATCGTCCGGTTCTCGTTCGTGCCTGCGTCGCCCACCACGCCGTATGGATCCCCATACCCGCTTCGATAATTCTCGCCGTCTGTCTGGGTCTGGCTCACCACGCCTTGCGCTCAGAAGCTCCTGGCTCGTCGCGCTATGTTTGCGCAAATTGTCTATTCCTCGCTTGATTCCTGATTCAGAGGCAACTTCCACCACCATTTCCGTCGGTCTTTTGTGCAACCAAATTGGGGCAGCTGGTCGTCCAGGCCTCTGTGATACACCGTGGGCTTCGCGTCGCCGTCAAGTTGCGGGTCCCAGCCGACTCAGATCTTCTTTCTTTCCGGTCTTCGGCAAGGCCTGCCTGCAAAAGAAAAATCGGCGGCGACAGCATCATCAGCAACAAAAGGCCTGCCTCATCAGCAGCAGAAACTCAGCAACAATGACATCATAATCATCATCAGCATCATCAGCAGCAGCATCCCCAGTAGTACCAGCATCATCAACAGCAGCATCATCAGTATCAGTAGCATCGTCAGCAGCATCATCATTATCAGCATCATCAGCATCATCATCAGCATCATCAGACTCATCATCATTGTCAGTATCGTCATCATAATCATCGTCGTCAGCAGCATCATGAGCATCATCATCATCATCATCATCATCATCATCATCATCATCAGCAGCATCATCGTCAGCATCGTCATCATGATCATCGTCATCGTCAGCAGCATCATGAGCATCATCATCATCATCATCATCATCATCAGCGTCATCAGCCGCATCATCATCAACATCAGCATCATCATCATCATCATCATCATCATCATCATCATCATCATCATCATCATCATCGGCATCATCAGCATCATAATCATCAGCAGCAGCATCAGCAGCAGCATCAGCATCAGCACTAGCAGCAGCATCGTCGTCATCATCAGGAACAACATCATCAGCAGCATCCTCTTACCGAGTATCATAATCGTCATCAGCATAAACATCATCATCATCATCATCCTCATCATCATAGGCCACAACTGCAGCACCATCATCGGCAACAGCATCATCAGCATCAGCACCTTCACCACCACCACCACCATCCTCATCAACAGATTCAGCATCGACATCATCGTCATCATCATTATCATAATCATCCTCATCCTCATCATCATCATTGTCATCACCAGCAGCAGCATGGTCATCATCAGCAGCATCAGCATTATCATCATCGCCACCAGCATCACCATCATCACCAAAATCAGCGTCATCATCAGCATCGGCAGAATCAGCAACGACATCATCACCATCACCAGCATCATCAGCATCATCATCACCATCGCCATCATCATCGTCAGTAGCATCGCCACCACCACCACCAGCACCACCATCAGCATCATCATCAGCATCATCAGCATCAGCAGCATCATCAGCGACATCGTCATCATCATCACCAGCAGCAGCATCATCAACCGCAGCACCATCAACATCAGCAGCATCATCATCATGACCATCATCGTCATCAGCATCATGAGCAGCATCGTCATCATCTTCATTGTCATTGTCAGCATCATCATCACCACCACCACCATCATCATCGTCCGCAGCAACACCATCACAATCAACATCCTCCGCCTCCTCATCCACCATCTCAGCGTCCCCGCCGACCCTCCCCCCGTCAGAATGCCCTGGCACCTCAACCAAACCACCCGTGCTCGTCTCCGTTCCGAGTCGCACTCCGGCCCAGAGTGTGAGAGAGAGAGAGACAGAGAGAGAGAGATACAGAAATACAAATCCATATATACAATGATTCTGTTACGTAGAGAGGGGGTTAAAACGATACGTATATAGCGAGAGAGATGGAGAAAAACTCAAGAGAGAGAGGGGGGGGAGAAGACGAGAAGGAGAAGCGAACCAGCGAGAAAACATGTGAGATTCATGAGGTGGGGATGTAAATGCGCCACCGTGCCCGCAAGTCGTGGGCGCGCGTTGTTGCCTGGAAGGTTTGGTCAAGTTGCAAGGGACCCTCAACCCCTCGACGCGCGCACCCCACGAACACCGCCCACTCTGAAATTGCTGCCTGGCGGTCTCTTCGGCCTGCACGAGGCCGAGATGGCATCCAAGACGGCTTCAAAGACACCGAAGACCAAGTATTTTGGCTCAAGATGGCCCAAGATAGCACTGGAGCCTCTCAAGACAGCCTCAAGGTGGCCCAGGAGGCTCCCAAGAGGGCCTCAAGACGGTCCAAGAAGACCCCAAGACGGCCCGGGGGGGGGGGGGGCAAAACCAGTGGTTTGCTCCAGGTAGTCGAAGGATGTTGAAGTTCTCGCCCAAGGCGGCCCAAGGGGCCTCCAAGATATGCCCAAGACAGCCCAGCCTCCAACTCATGGCACCCTGGAGGCAAGCAGGGTGTGCCTTGGCATGGGTCTCCAATGTAGGGCTGCCGTGGACGGTCCGAAACCCAAACTTGCCAGACCCTCAAAATCCTCCAAAAACCAGTGGCAGATCAATGGTGCCAGCCTCGCCCCTCGAGGGCCTCTTGGAGACCTCTTGGGCCGTCGTGGGGGCCGCCTTGGGACCCTCATGGCTTCCAGGACAGCGTTCCGGGCGGCCAAAGTGTCGCAAGGACGGCCCAAGGCGGCCCCAAGACGGCTCCAGAAGCTCCAGAGACGGCCTCAAGACAGCGCAAGAGGCCCCCAGGACGGCCCAAGAGAGCTCCAAGAGGCCCTCATGGAGAGCTCAAGGAGTTCAACACAATGGATTTGCCCTAGGTTGGTGAAGGACGGTGAGGTTCTCGCCTGTTCGGCTTTCCACCCGCCCAGGGCGGCCCGGGAAGCCTCCGAGAGGCCTCCAAGATAGCGCCGAGGCAGCCCAAGAGGGCCCCAGGAGGGCCTCAAGTCGGCCCAAAAAAATAAGAGATCGCCCAAAGGGCTTCCAAGGGAGCCCCAAGAAGGCAGTGAACCGCTCCAAGAGGGCACCAACACGGCCTAGAGAGGCCCCCAAGGCGGCCTCCATAGGCGTCAGACGGTCCAAGAGTCCCCTAAGACAGCCCACCCCGAGATGCCCAGTGAGGCCCGAAAGAGGCTCCCAAGAGGCTGTCAGGAAGCTCCCAAGAGGCCCCCAGGAGCCCACAAGAAGGCACCCTAGAAGCATTATCCTTCTCATCCTCATTACCCCCCTCTCCCTCTCATCCACCTCCCTACCGCGCGGACGAAGACGAGGTCGGGATCACGACCCGTCCCACTGCAGACTATACTTGTCGGAATTGCGCTGTTCCTACACGTAGCCTCCTTCCTGCTGCACTGTTGCAGAGGCACGGTTGCGGGGTGTGCCGCATGCAGCTGGAGAAAAAGAGAGAGAGAGAGAAAGAAAGAAAGAAAGAAAGAAACAAAGAAAGAAAGACGAAACAACAAAGTGAGAGAGAGAGAGAACACAAACGTGAGGACAAGGCCAGCGCACACGTGCCACATGCGTGCATACGACTGTCCAGCCCGTGCCAGAGAACGGGCGCGCGCTCGCGCGGGACAGCACGCGCGTGGATTGCGAGCGCGTCGAATGCCAAGCGCGTGCTGGAATCTGTCGGCGGTGCTGAAGTCTGCCCAGTCTGGGGGGCTCCGCGCACATCGACTACAGGTGACCACGTTTCACACGCCTTCCATATGCAGCCGCCTTCCGAGATGTTTCTGCCACGGGCGCTGGCAGTGCCATCTCAATGGTGATGGCATTGCGGGGCTGGTTCTTGGCAAGCATGCACGGACGCAGCAATCCAGGCCGCACGCTATACACTAGTGCCAATGAGAGAACACGAAGAGTAGCAAGCGAACGGGGCACCACCAATTGGATGGGCCCGCTGGTACTCCGACGACCTGGCTGCATGCACGGAGGGATGGGCTTACACATGTCAACACACACACACACACACATGTTGACACAGCACTGCTGTCTCATTGGCGGTTCAAACTTGTCCGACAGACTGTCCTTGGCTCACACATCTTTGTCAAACTTGTCCGACGGATTGTTCAAAATGATCACATCCAATCATCACCCTCGCCATGCTCATCTATAGAATGCCGTCTAGCACAGCCGAGCCAGGACACGACGTGTGCCAGGTAGACTAGGCTTCCGAACGAGACGGGTGACAGCTAGACCAGGCCTCCGAATGATGAGAGACCCCTGCGCTGCCTCCATCACATCACAGCCTCATTGAAGCTCGAACTAATGACTTTTCGTTGTGCGTCGGTCTTCAGTACCCTCTTGATTTTGTAAAGAGCTGCCAACAAGAGCGGGGCCGGCTGGGTTGCCAAAATCGCAGCGTCTCTGGATTGCGGGCGCACTCAGAGCGAGATGCGTCGACTGTATACGTCGACAACGCGCGTTACTCCATAGGTCAGCCCGTCCTGACAGAAAGGAAAGGAAACAGGCGGACAGGGAGGGAGATGAGGGACTGAAGGGATAAGAGTGCGAGTCCGAGGGAGAGGGGGAGGAGAAACGAAGAGGAAGAAAGGAGGGAGGAGGATGGGGGAGGAGGGAAAAGGAAGGAGAATACGAGGTATACGAGACACCGAGAACGCGAAACCAACCGAACAACAATATGGAAATCAATGTTTTCCGCCTCCTGGAGATCCTCTTGGAGCAATCTTGAGGCGTCGTGGAGGCTTCTTGGGCCAACTGGAAGGCATCTTGTGCCGTTTTGGAGTCGTCTTGAGTCCAGGAAACCTTGGCAGAAGCCTCCGATCACATCGGGACCAAAGGCTCGGTGCCTCAGCGGGCGGGAACACAGGACGGCTGGCATTGCCGCCAGGCTGCGTCGGAGCACGAGGGGGCAAAAGCCCGGGCATGAGGCGTCAACGCGCACGAGGAGGCATGAGAAGGAGGCAGGAAGGAGGGGGGGAGGACAAAGGAGAGAAGAGAACACACAATAGAAGAGCATGTGCAGAGGATCTTCCGTGCCCGGGGTTCGTGCCCTGAGAGCGGGAGGGGAGGGAGAGAGAGAGGGGGGAGGAAAGAACGAGGAAGGCAGGGAAGGGGCGTGATTTTGTAGCGGAAGTCTTGTCGACAAGCTGCTCTCACTTGAGACCTTCTCAAATAGTAGATCCATACATGTCCGACACCGTGTCCCCTGGCACGCTGAGGCATGGCATAATGCCACGCTGTTGTAAGCCTTGATAAAGGACCCCCCACCCGCACGTGTCTCCACGCTCAGCAGCATGCGCCCCACCGTGGGGGGCCCAACCCACCCACCCACCCCTCCCAAGGCTACTTGGGCGGCCCAACGCTTTCTTGGTGAAGGCTACCGAGACGGCCAAGGAAGGCCACCGGGGCCGCCAAGATGGCCCAACATTGCCTCAAGTCGCCCCCAGGAGCCCCTAACAAACGCTCAGTAAGTCCCCAGAGACATCCAACAGGCCCCAAGACACCCCAAAGACGCTTCCCGGAAAGCCCTCGAGAGACTAAAAACATAAAATTGAATCTGCCTGATCCATAATTTCAGCTTTCCGCGCGTCTTGGTCGAAGGATGGGTTCTCCTGCTGGGCGGTCGCCTTCATCGGCGCCCCCTCGGACGGCCCCCGTCGGGCCCGTCCCTCTCTTTCCCCTCGTGGGAGCACCGCCCGTGCGCCACTTGCACCGGGCACCGCCCACTCCCACGAACTGATGCCGTGCACCAGCTTTGGGATGGCGCTCGCTCCTCCAACAGCTGCCCGGGCCCCTGCCCCAGTACCGTGCCCCGCGGCTTTCGGAAGCTGGGCGAGGGCTGGCAAATCCGTGGCTGCTTGAACGGTCTTCCCAGAAGAAAAAAACATGCTCCCGGAAGAAGCCTCGGCGCGCCAAATAGCAAAGTTTCCCTGCAGAAAAAACAGTTTCCCGGAGCTCCGTTTCAGCAGCCACGGGCCTGCCAGCCTTCGCCTGGCTCCTGAGGCTTGCTGCCGGCCGCCCAGCGGCCCCGCCCGTGCCGCCGGCCCGCCCGCTGCTCTCCGCCCGGGGCCGCCCTCGCAGCTGCTGCCGCGCTCGCGCCGCCGCCTCCCCCCCGCCTGGTGGCGCCCGCTCCGCTGGCTTCCCCCCCCCGCTTGCTGGGCTCCGCCCGCACGGCGGCGGCTGGCCCCACGCCTGCCTGCCTTGCCGCCCCGCGGCGGCTGCCAGGGGCTGCCCTTCCGCCCGGCCGCCCCCTCAGCCCATTTCGCCCCCGCCCGCTCGCCGCAGCCCTGCTGCGCGATCGTGTCCCCGGCGCCCGGTCCCCCCCCTCTCCCGCGGCAGGGCCCCCTGGCCTCCCGCGTGCGGATAAGTTCGCGAGTCCGTGCCCCGGTCTCGCCCGGACGCGCGTGCGGCTTGCCACTGCCGCGCTGCGACGTAGAAAGGTCCGCCTGCGGTTCCCCAAGACGGTCCAGAGGGCCCCAAGACGGCTGAATCGGGCTCCTAGGCGGCCCAAGGGGGCCCGAATGGGTCCCCAAGACTGTCCCACTGGAGCCAAAGACAGCCCCAAGACGGCCCCTTGATGGCCCATGAGAGCTCCGAATATGACGGCATTATGAGCGGTGCTGGAAAGGTTGCCACATAGTCCTTTGGTGGCACAGTGGCAAATCCCCTGAGACCTCTTCAATGCTTGTTGGCCAGAACCATGATATTGTGCAACAGCTTCACGGATGGAGGACGGTACTTTTCACAACGGAGCTCTCGCTGGGCACTTCCTCGAGTTTGATGGTCATACCTCTCGGGGTTATCATCGCCAGACCCGCCATCGATCCGACGTGCATTCCCCGTTCGTTGTGGGGGTTCGTGCGTGTGCTTTCTCGCAGGATGGCCCGAAAGGCTCCTCGATGGTCCCCTCGAGGTTGCCCGGCGAGAAACACTGCACACGTCCGAGGCATGCCAAGCAGAAGGATGAAAGGCGGCTCCTCTGCAGAGCGGGGTTCTCGCCCGCACGGCAGGCCCACCGGTCGTTCGCACCTCAGGGGGGCGCTCTCCCCGCAGGGCCAGTCGAGATTGCGGTGGCCCGTTTCTGCCAGCGACGGTGTGGTCATGAACCGAGGGCGCTTGGCACTCACCACCGGATGCTTCCGATGCCCGTCCAAGAATCACGGGGGCCCACAGGGGCACCAGTACAGATGCGGGGGTCGGCGGCTGTGGCGCAAGCCCATGGAATCAAGCTTGCAGTGGCCTGTGAATTGGGAACTCGGGACGGCAGGATGAGATGCAGCATTGTTGATGCATCATGGGTCGGTCAGGCCGCCCGTGACGCAAATATTCTTTCTCTCCCATTGGAAGTTTCAAAACCTTGGTTTGCAACGTCAGCTCTTCCACGGGGGTCCCTTAAACGGCGCCCAACTCAGATCCCAGACTTCGCGGGGCTTCCGAATGGACCCAGAAAGTCTAGGGCCCCACTCGGGGATTATAAGAGAAGGGGGGCGTCCATCCTCGATAGGGGTGCGTTCAAGTAGCCCCCTGTGATGGGCCTGTTTTCCACCACCACCACCACCACCACAAGTTGGAGGGGGAGGGGGTCCTCCTCCTCCTCCTCCTCCTCCTCCTCCTCCTCCTCCTCCTCCTCCTCCTCCTCCTCCTCCTCCTCCTCCTCCTCCCCCCCCTCCCCCCCCCTCCCCCTCCCCCTCCCCCCCCTCCTCCTCCTCCCCCTCCACCCGAGATCCGAAGTTGCAAGAAATTATCCCAGCAAAGCAACCGAACAGCTATGTGTAGAAGCATATATGGAAGCACATCTGGAAACAAGACGCTGCTATAAATAGTGGATGAATCTGCAAAGAAGGCCCTACGATCAACGGATCAGCACATTCTTGTTGTGCTCATTCCAAACGAGACGCTGATATGCAGGGATGTAGGTCCAAACGAGATACTGTTATCAATGGATTGAATACTGCTTGCTACTACAGATGTGTCTGGGGACGAGACGCTGCTATCAATAGTGGATGAGTCAGCAAAGCAGGCACTGCTATCGACGAGACAGCACATTCTTTTCGTTGCTCCTCCCAAACAGGACGCTGCTATCAATCGATGTAAATCCAAACGAGACGCTGCTATCAATAGTGGGAGGCGTGTAAAAACGAGACTCTACTATCAATACTGGAAGTGTGTCGAAACGAGACACTGCTATAAATAGTGGGAGTTGTATGAAAACGAAACTCTGCTATCAATACTGAGCTGTATTAAAACGAGACGCTGGTATCAAAAGCTCCGCTGGCAATCCTGGAAGTGCGTCAAAACGAGACACTGCTATCAAGAGTGAAAGGTGAATTAAAACCAGATTTTGCTATCAATAGTGGAAGTGTGTCAAAACGAGACACTGCTATCAGTAGTGAAAACTGCGTTAAAACGAAACTCTGCTATCAATACTCGAACTGTGTTAAAGCGAGACACTGCTATCAATAGTGGGAATTGTCTAAAAACGAGACTCTGCCATGAGCACTGGAAATGTGTTTAAACGAGACACTGCTATCACTAGTGGGAGGTGTGTAAAAACCGGACTCCGCTATCAATACTGGAAGTGCTTCAAAACGAGACACTGCTATCAATACTGGGGGTTGTATGAAAACGGGACTCTGCTTTCAACCCTGTTGTCATCGTCATCGTCGCCGTCGTTGTCATCGCCCTCCTCGTCCTCGTCGCCGCTGCCCTCGTCGTCGCCGCTGTTTCCCCTTGTTCTCTCTCTAGCCGGCCAGTTTTTTTCCGCCCCGGACGGCGCTTCGCGCCTCCAAGCAACTGTTCTAGCGGAGAGCCGGCAAAACGTACAATCAGAGAAGCACTTTACAGAGCCGCAGGCTGAGAAGCACCGCGGCCATGCAATCCTACAACTGTTGCAGCTAGCAGTGCAAGCACGCAAGCTGGGAAGCACCGCGCAAAGAAAACAAGTATGTGAGACCCAG